ATTTGTATTTGTTAGAATGGTTTCAAATTGATTCAGTAATTAGCCATTGGGTTGTGTGGCATTGAGGCATTTGTAGTAACAGAAAAGCAAAAGAAAACTGATTGAAATTTGGTGGCTCTGCAGACACCACAGTTACATGATACCTTACACCTTCACAGGAGAGAATGGTTTCATTATTTCTGACTTCAAGAGAGATTTCTTACCCCATCTGTTCTATCTATACATGCACGAGTGTGCTTTCTTTGCCGAGTGATGAGAGTGTGGTTTCATACATTCTTGCAAATATTGTGCTATGATTATTTTATTACAAAACAAAAAAAACGCTAGTACATCTGACAGCCCTTGAAAATGTTTACTGGGACAAACAGGAGGGTTTGTTTGTCTGATTTAAAGAGGGTGCCTGTGTAATCTGCAACACCATAACATAAAACTAAACTCTATGTTGTTTATATATATATATATATCTATATACATATATAGATAGATAGATAGATAGATAGATAGTTGCCGCAACTTAACACTATAGGTTATTATTATACAATTAACCTACATTCATTATTTAATATTTATACCAATCTTGCCAGGAGTACATATGGTATTACTTCTGACCAGTTTGAAATAAATATGTGTAGCTTTCTATTTTTTGAATGAATGACCTCAGTGAATAATTTGTGCTGGCAGTGTTTACTTTCAGTACAAAGACACAAAGTGTAAAATTCCCTGATTTGAACATAGTATCAAAATATATTTCTAAACTTACTGAAATTTATTGGCCAATTTTATATAATAAATATAAGTTCTTCCTACTATTTTAGAGTGGTTGTCACTTTGGTCACTCTAGGTTGACATGTATAACTTCTTGAAATCAGAGCCCCAGTCTATGGATGGAGACTTGTGATTTGAAAGCATGGCTGGTTCAAGCTGCTTGAATTTTCCCAATACTACCTGAAAATGGTCCACGGGTTGATGATCAACCTTACACACAGATGATCTTGTCAATGAGGTTCAGGAAGTATTGTATTATGCCAAACTGTGGCAGCAGACTGACTGAGAAGCGATAACAATGGATGATATAAACTGCTACAATGTACCTGTGCAAAAACCAGTTCTTAACCAGACCAGAAGCAAAGGCACATTTAGAAACACGCCTTGTTCTCATTTAGACACTGCAAACCGCTGGCTTTCACAGAGCAGTGCGTATATAATGAGCAGAGAGCTATTTTAAAACAGTGAATCTGTGGTTTCCCAGCAGATCTCACCTCAAACATGCACACAAAATTGTCATATGCATACTCTGCTACAGGAACAGAGAGACATGATAGTAAATGTACTGTATGTTCCACTGAAAATGAAAGTTATGGCCATTGAGCTATAGACAGTTTTTTTCTGTTATCTCACCTCCTCATATACTCTAAAGTGATACTGTACGTGCTGGATGGAGACTGTAAGTCAAGACAAGGGTGCAGTGCTTTTCATATAGTTGTCGTTTGTCAACGTATTGAAAATGTGAATAAAAAAAAGAAAAAGTGAAAAGCTTTGGTCTTCGATCCATGAGGGTTACAAAGGTTTCATCAATATGCCTCAACAGGAGAGAGGTATTGTAATTTACAAAATAAAGAATCCACAATTTTTATTTTTAAGTGACTTATTAGCGTTGAGCCACTTATTACTGCCTACAAATTTGCTTTAGTCGCCAGGCTGTTGATGTTAAAACTGAGGTTGATATTTTCTGTCAGATGTCACCCTCTAACACTCAGAGCATCATGTTCTGTGGTTTAGACATCAAATGTAAGATGGTTCACTTTATGGGCAACAGCATCAGTAAAAGCCCCACAGCATGTTTAGAAAAGGAATTCTTGCCTTTGTTGAGCATTAGCATTTAACAGAACCTTTCCATCACAGCCAACAATGGATGACGCAGGGGGATATCTTTCTACTGAATCAAACTGAGATATGCAAGCATGGACAATCCATTCACAAGTCAACCCCAATGCATAAAACTTGTGTTGCAAAAAAGCGAAATTTTAATAGCTTTACAGAAGTTTGGGAAATGTATCTCTTGTTGATCTGCTGCAGGCCCTTTTTGAGTTTTTATTCTGGTTGTCATTGAATACATGTAGCTGATATCAAGGGCTTTGCTGTTTTTAAATTCAAATTTTATCTCACATTTTTATACTTTACATCCAAGAGTTGTGCTTGTGCTGCCTCTGCTACAAAGATCTGGCCTTACTGTAATGAATGTCCTTTATATCACACAGAAATGCTTCATTTCTACTTTTTGTATCATTTATAATCTATTCATATTGTTTAGAAGATGAAGGTATTGAGTTACAGTAATGTAAACTTCAACCATATCATGAAGTCCATGTGTTCAGTAAAGGTCACAGGAAATCCTCATACGCTCTCTACACCCCTCACACGACTCAACTCAACATAGCTGTGCTTTGTTTTGTGTGGGTGTGCTTTGTTTGTATGATATCACACACAGATGGCAATGTCACTTATTATATTTGAGACATGCCATTCATCTGCATCCATATCCTGTAGCTTGATCACAAACATTACTGAAATTTACTTTTTCCCGTAGCCGATGGCATAGAACAGATTCTTGAAAAAAAAAAAAGAAAAGAAAAGAAAAGAAAAAGGCTTGAAAGAAAATTATATTCTTTTCCAGCAACTTCTTTCAGAGATACATAGGATATTTTAAAGCAACACTGAACTTGAAAAGATTTGCTGAGACAAACAGAAGAGGGTGGAGAGATGCTGCAGTGGTGAATGGTATGCTGTAATAGCTGACAGTTAAAACTTTCCTAAAACGTTTTGACCCCATGCTGTTCCCTACAGTCAAAATTGAATTATATGGTTCTCTTACTTCGATATTCTGTACCCCAATCTTTGATATCCAATGTTATGACCAAGAACTATGTCTAAGTATTAGCTTTGACCATCCTGCAATCCAGTGAGAGCATCCATAATAAAGTACCCATGATGCATCAAAATGACAGAGCCAGAAAACTCCGAGAGGTCTTTGGTTGTACTTGCACAGCACAAATAATGGCCTTAAATTAAATAGCTGCCTAAACAAACAGAAGCTAAGTATATTTCTCGTTTAACATTATCCCAAAGTTATCATCACTGATCAATCCATCACTAAGCAATATTACTGACTTTCATATGACATTCACTATACTCAAACATAGTGTATGTACAGTAAAAGAAAATTGTTATTCCTCAGAAATTTAAATGAATCAGTTTTCTGTGTTCAAGTCCAGTGATTTACTGAATTACTGTAATCTGATTTTTTTTAAAATGGGGGAAAAATGACTGCATTTTTGTGACTTTAAACAAAATACATTCTCAAATCAACATGATCATTTTTTAAGTATTACTGTTGTAACTTGAACCTTTTTCTATTGATCTGAGCTATATTAATCACTGATTGGTGATCACTTGCCCCACTGTTTACAATAACTGCTGATGTAGCCCTCCTGTTTTATCTTTCAAAATGGAAGGGGGCTGGAATGTTATAGTAAACACATACATTTATAGTCCATTAAAAAAATAACAGTTATACAGCGGACTATATTTTTGTTATGTCTCCTGTCAGAGTGCAAAACAAGTATGCTGTTACACTATGCAAACATGCTTTTATCTATACTCTTGAATATGACTGTCTCCTGTGTGACTTCAATATATTTCAGTTTGTATTATTAAAAATTTTATAAAAAATGTTTTCTATTATTCTAAAATCACAAGCAAAACTCACAAAACTGTAAAATAGTCTTGATTTCTGAAATGATTTTCTGTCCAAACAGCTACAGTTTTACTCAGAAGCCAACTCACTGATGAGAGTGAAGAAACTAAATTCAGGTCATGGTTTGGTTCATTCCTTCAGTTCCTTCTTTGTTTGAGCTGCAACATACAATCTGATTTGTGCTACAACAGGAGAAAAGAACATGTATTGGCATTGTCACAAATGTCAATGAACAGCACGGGCAGAGAGAAACGCCGACTGGATGATGTAGTTAAGAACCTTCAATAAATGAAAAAATGGCTTACAAGCAGATGGATGGATGAGAAGAAACAGGAATCCCCGCAAAAAAAGTAATCCAATCACAGAAAAACAAGAACCAAGGTCAATACACAAAAACACTAGGAAACAGGAAGAGATAATCAAAAATGAGCTGGAGAAAATGGCAGGTATAAACAGTGTCTGTGGTGATGATGAAACAGAGAACAGGTGTGTCAGTGGGCGGGGAAACACAGGTGATTGCAGATAGAAAAAAGGTGAGCAGGTGCAACAGAGGACAGGAAAAAAGTCTGGGGACACCTGGTGGACAGATAAAGAATGGCAGCTCTGGGGAGAAAACATGGGAGGAATGAAAAGGAGCTGGAGACAGGGGCCGGAGCTGTCTGGAAAAAAAAAAATCTCCTAATTTGACCATTGTGTCCAATTTATTTTCTCAGAAGTTATAGTAATAATCACCTATCAATGCATCACCAATCAACGAGAGCTGACTTTGGTATGTTATCAAGCAGATGTGCACAAGAGCAGTTAAAAAGTATATCTTACCAGTTAATCTAAACATGAACAAAATAATAAACTTTTCTCAAGATCATAAAAATAAAAATAAGCAGCCTTTAATTAGAGTGTCTAATTGTGTTTATTTCAGATGAGCTGCTATAAACGCTACTATAAACTAGTCCTGTTTAATCTTTTAAAATTTTAACAACGGACTGACAATTTACAGCACAATTATACAGTGACTGAGTCTGCCCTGCACTGTACAAACATGTTTTTATCTCATAGCTTTGCATTACGTGAGGGTTATCTGCCTCTAGTTAATGCTTCTGTGATTACCCACAAAAAAGAAAAAGAAAAAAAAAAAAAAACATAAGTCAGTGAGCCATTCAACTAGCCAATCACCACTTACATTTCCTTTAATGGAAAAGTCAGAGCAGGTTATATCTATGAGTAAAATGTGTTTCGCTCTCTTTGAGCTCTCTGTCATCATCACACATGGACGGGCTGCGCGTTTTTCTGGTCGTTCTCTTTGGTAATTCTTTTGATAAAAAATTTTGATGACTAAATTATAGTTATGTTCCATTTTACAAATAATTTATATCTACATACTCATTGTTGTTTATTAGTAAGCTGCACTTTCTGTGCTGTGAAATCCTGTAATGCTACTTTTATGACTGTGTTTTTATTGCAGGAGCTGTTTCTTTCAGTCAGGATCAGATTCCCAAACCAGTGTCGGAGGTGACAGTCAGACCAGGAGGAAACATCACTCTGTACTGTGACTGCAAAATATCAACTGGAGTATACATAGTGTGGTACAGGAACTGTTCTCATGAGAACCAGCCCACTCTTGTTCTTAAAGCAATGGGTTATTCGGTTCGTTTTGAATTTTTGAAGAACCATTCTTCTGAATCCTATGACCTGCTGATCAGGAACATCACTGATTCTGATGAGGGGCTCTACTACTGTGGAACTCAACAGACCAAGGTGGAGGATAAAGGATTAATCACTTCCAAATACATTTACAACTATGGCAATGTAGCAACAAGGATCATATGTGGTAAGGTTTCTTTGTATACGTGTGAGTGTGATAGTGGTGACAGTGATTGCAACCTTTTGATTAAATGATTATTGTACAGTTGAACAGTTGTGGCAAAGAAACAAGGATTCTATTGAGTAGTTATTCTGGTCTGACTTTTCTTTGTATGTTAATCTACAGTATGTTTGGAATTGAACCATTTGACAGATCCCTACATTGTATAATAAAAATAATTTTCTTTTTCTATTATATTAAAGTTTGTGATCATGTCAAATCCAACATACAAAACTGTATTCTCCATGAGCAATATTATGGGCTACATTATGATGAACAAGGTTGTGAGGTAGAATCCAGGGTAATACAGCCACTTTCTCTGAAGTTAAAGACAAGTTACAAGGGATTTCTTCCAAATCATGGACTGCTTAGGTTTGAAGTGTTGTGGGTTGTTCTTACTGTGCAATATATTCCATATTGATATTTATATGCATCCTCCTTCTGTAAAATGTTTGCATTTGAGAAACCAGAAAACACCTTAACACATGGAATAAAAGTGTTCCCGATATCACCTGTTGCTGGCATAAAATCAGTCACCAATGAACCTTGTTTAGATATAGCAATACTGACTGTTAGGCTATTATATTAAACTAAAATGTAAAACAGGTCCAAGCTGGAAAAGATCCATCAGTGAGGAACAGGATAAATATCAAGCATGTTACAAGTCAAACTTCATAGTGGTGATGCATATATGTCTAAAAATGTTTTGCTGACTGCAGGAAAAGAAGACAACTCAGACAGAGAAACATGCCCTCACTCCAGTGTTGTGCCCTGGATGATGGTGGTGTTCACGCCAGCTTTAACTATTCTCTCCTCTTTCCTCTCCTTTATTTTGGTTTATCACTTCTGTCAGAAAACAGGTACTTTTTGTTATCTCAGAGTTACTACGTCATGTTTTTGTGTTATTTCGTATTTTTTATATATTGTCTTTTTTTTCAGACATTTTGGAGAGTAATTATTCATGTAAAGACTAAATACCATAAGATAGCTATATTTGTGATAGTCTTTTGTACATTTGAGGGCTACTCTGAAATTGTGTTGTATTCATTTCTGTAGATAAAGAACCTGAAGTTCATCAGAAAAGACCAAACAGCACAGGACAAACAAGACAGAATCAGGTAATCAACAGAAGACTTTTTTATACACATCATATGTTCAGAATCAGAATTTTTTATTTTTCACTTTTGTCAGCAATTTCTTCATAAATGTAGTCTTTTAAATGTACTGAGGTTGTTAATTGTCCAGTGTAACAGCACAATAGCATGCAAATGATTCTAAATAACGAATTGTTTTACAGGATGAAGATGTGTGTTTAACACGAGTTGTGTTCCGGGTTAAGGATGGACAAAAACACCAGTAGACATGAAATACAGCAAAAGCACATTTGCCTCATTCAGGCAGAAAGAAAATAGAATTGAACAAGTCCAATTTCGAAATGTTTCAAATTCAGGTCAACAGTTTAACTTGTGGTTTCCTCTTGTATCTTTGTATTTTTCAATGTCCTGTGGTTTGTGACACACCCCTAGAGATCTTAAACCACAAAGTGTGTGAGCGCAAGCTGTGTGGCCGATTTGGTATCAGGTTTGTGATCAACCAGTTGACAACAGTCACATACACATTATTACAGTTTTAAATGTACTTTTCCGTTGAGAACTGTTTAAACTTAAATCTTGACTTACATATTGTTATTATTTTTATTAGTTATCATTAAGTAATATGAGCTTGTACTGTTTTACATGTAGAATATGTATGGAATATTTGTAATTAACTCTTTACTTGTTATTATTACATTATTATAAATCAATTATTTTTATTACAGTTGTCTTTTGTGAGCTGTTTACATATACACACAACATATAATGGGCTGTACTATCTTTTTGATTGCCCCCCCTTTACTTCAGTAGTCTCTATTCTAATGGATAGGCATAATAATTTGCATTAAATTAATTTGAAAGAATAAGTGATGCAGGTGAATGCCTTACTCATTGCTTCTGCGATTTATTGTGGATTAAATGGCCAGTTTGTTAGAGGTATGAACCACAATAATGATGAATTTATTTTTATTCTTTTATTATTTAATTTGGTTTATTACCATTTTGTATTTACAGATGTGGATAAAAGTGTTAGTACCCTAACACCTTATTGAAACAATAGTCTGTGAAATTAAAAGCGCCTTTGTCATGCATATGTGCACGCCATTAGTTTGCCATAGAATAAAATAAAGAAATGAAAAGAGCTGAACTCTTCATGAATTCTTCCTTATTCTACAAAGATCTTCTAAAATGGCCTGGATAAAATGACTGACCCCTTAGAAGTGGTGATAAACAAGTGGATTGTCATCTGTATTTCAAAATTATCACATGTGCCTTCAGTCTTAAGTCATCAGTCAATCAGTCATTCCGCCTATTTAAAATGCGAAAAGCCCTCATTGTGCACCACAAGAAATGTGGAAAAGAGAAAAAAAGGAGAGTTGTCTGTAGAGATAAGGAAGAAAATATTTGCTGAGCATGATCACAAATGTTTAAGGTCTAAGGAACCATAACCAACCTCCCTAGATATTGCCATAAGAGGAAAATTGACCCCGTATTGAACACCAGGAGAATTTGAATCTTCAGAATAGATACAAGCTGACCTCCAAGATAGAGGTACAATAGTGTCCAACTGCACCATACAATGCTCTCTGAATAGATGTGAGCACCAAGATCCTGGAAGACCCCACTTTTAAAAGAGAAACATACAAAGGCCTGACTGGAGTTTGCAAAAATTTTGACAAGCCAGAATGCTTCTGGGAGAATGTCCTGTGGACAGATGAAACAGATTGTAGGTTTTTTCGTAAGTTACAAAACCTCTACCTTCACAGAAGTAAAAAGGAAGCTATCAAAGAAAAGAACACCATCCCAGTGGTAAACATGGAGGAGGCTCAGTTATGGTATGGGGTTGCTGTGTTGAGCCCGGCACAAGGTATATTGAATCTGTGCAGGGCACAATGAAATCAGAAGATTAGCCGGACGGTCTGCAGCAAAACATTCTCCTCCGACAGGATATGACCAAAGCATACATCTACAACAAGCTGTCAAGTCAGTTTCAAAAAGGTACAAGTGAATACAGTGTGTACAATAAACCACAGTATGCAGTCCATGTGATCAGTCAGTCGTGATGTTGCTACGATTGCAACAATTGAAATAAAACACTGATTACAGAAGCTCTGCAGCCACCTTGTGGTTTAATACACATCAAATTTCTTTCAGATATCAGTGTCAGTGAGGTTTTATTCAGGATAAACTGTTCCTCTCAATCCTCATATCTGAATCACAAACATGTGGACATTTATTTGTTTATGTATTGCCTGTTTGTTTTTGCTGTAGCACGAATGATTCTCTTATCATTCAGTGTGTTAAAATTGGAAAAGTCTGTTGGGACAAATAGGGGAGATGGTGTGATCTCTCAACATTACTCAGTAGCCTCACTGGCTCCATTTGAGTCACTCCTGACCTCTAGTGGAGATGATAAGTAATAAACCAAAGCCAAAAACTAACAGGACCATCTTTAGGTCTTTGGCTGTTTTCACACAACAAAAATAATGTAATTAGACCATTATGTGGCACAAATTGATTATTTAAAATTAAACAATAAGAAACCACAGGAACTATGTGTCCTGTTTAAGCTTATCTGTGCCACAATTGAAAAAAAAGGCAATGCTTAAAACAATACAACAAAATATCATATCTCCTAATGTGACCAGCATGTCCACAGTTTTTACAAAATGATCATCACCCATCAGTGTATTATATAAGAGTATTTGCTGACTTTCAAATGATATTCAAAAGCACAACCTTGAACATAATTAAAGCGAGAAACAATACAATCTGCAAGTAATCGTATCATGAAACACACTGTCAAGCAACAACAAGCCAAGCTACTGTCCTCTAATTCATTTATAATGCACAATGTAAATTAATGAATTTCTATGAATGCTATCTGAAATATAATCCATGGGCTGATGATGACTATTCATGTCACAATCTCTTTGTTTAACTCCTGTTTAAGTAATAGTCACTGTTTTATAATGTTGAATAAGATGCTTAACATGATTAACATCAAAATGTACGTTCTAGCATCTGGCCAAGCTGAAATTTTTGTTGTCATTTGTGAGAGGACACGCTGTTGGTGTGTCCTTGAAGTTGGTCCTCATTTTAGTAGTTGTATTTCTCATACTACTCTGTTTCTTTTGGCGTAAGATGAATGACACTTTGCCGTTCTGAAAATAGCTAGTGTATAATCAATGACCAGTCAACCAGACTCTCCAAGTGAAACTCACCTGACCTCTAGTGGAAAGACAATGCAATGCATCAAAAATGCCATCAAAAACATTGGACCTTACTGTCGAACAGTCCAGACTGAATCATACCGTGCTTCTGAAATTCTAAGTCACTGTGCTGGAATAACCTTTTTACTGTTAAAAAACAAAACAAAAACATTATCATGTTTGATTTTTACTGAAGGTTCAGTTCTTCAACTCATAATCTATCGCAGGCACACATTTAACATTTCTTTCACAAAGGACTGAAAGAATTTATAGGTAATGATTAAGGTTTTTTTGTATTGTAGAACAATGCACAAGATTTCTTTAGTTCATATTGTTTATTTCCTCTATCACCAGTTGTTAATAAATCAGTAGATAACAACAGTGCACAAAATGATATTTTCATACTAAAATTCAGCAGTTGTCCTCATCTAAGACAAGGGAAAACATTTTATTCATATATTCCTTACACTTGACACTCAAACAAAGACATTGAAGACATGAAAAAAAAACATATTCCAATGAGCATTTTTAAAATCAATTAAAAGCTATATTTTTTAATTATTTGAATTAAAAAAATAGTCAAGGTACTGACTTTATGCCTGTAAACAATAGTAGAAACATAAATAATCTCTAAACATGAAAAATTCAAGCATTCAAAATATGCTTTTAAATGCACTCAAAAAAGAGAAAATATAGTTTGTCATTTTAGCAAGGAAACTGTTCTTGAGCATTTTTCAAATATAGGATTATTATTTTCAATAAAACTTGGATTGCCCTAAACTGATCCACGGAACAGAATCACGACTGATTCTTCTTTAAATGGGCCAATATTGGCTATGCTAAGCCTGATCCATTTCCAAACTTGTGGATTATTTGTTTGTTACTGGTACACCAACTGTCAAACATGCCCCACTGCCCTTCATAAAAACACAACCACCACTCTGTGATTGAGATACCCGGAAGTGAATTGTGCACAAAATAAATAAATAAACAAATACAAGGCAGCCAGCAGTTTCAGATATGACAGCCTTTGACAATGTAATAAAAATGTTATTTTGTGTCTATTTCAGCAACATTTTGCAAGTGAATCACACCTTAAAAGTGCTGATGTTGGTTGTAAAATGCCATTTGAGTATTTGATGATGCTTGAGATAAAAAGAGGCTGTCTAAAACCCTGTCCGACACCTCTTTCAATAAGGATTATCAACAATCTGTACAAAATATGATATGAAACCATTAAAGAGAAGCATTTTTTGTTATCAAGGCTAAGTTTTCTTAGCGCAGACCAACCCAGCTGTCAAACATATTTAAGGCCCCTGAAAACTTGGTTTTAAATCCTACACAAATCAAACAACAATAAAATGTAAAGTTAAGAAAAATAGTAAGGGTTTAAACCTCAAAAAACACTTGGCTAATCTGCTTCAGCAGTGCTGTATGGTTGTTGTTTGATAATTTAATGGTTTAACAACTCTACAACTCATCAGATTTTGATTCAAATGATGCTAAAACCTGATTGATGGAAATATGTGACATCACCTTTTTCCAACTTCCCACACACAGAAAAAAACACAAATACAGAAATCTCTCATGTAGTATAATCGAAACTGGTCTAAATATGGTCTTCATGTAGAAGCCCATCATTCCTAGTAAAACACTAATTTATAAAATAGGTTTTCAAGGCTTTCCAATTGCCTTACTAATTTTTTCCATGTATAATGCAGGTATATTGAAAAACTAACAAAAATGTCAGACCAGACTCTCTTTCATATTCTATATCATAGATAGGATTCAAATCAAGATCAGGGGAAAGATCTTTTATTAAGACAACACTAAATATAACCACATTTCTCTCAGAACAGAATGTTTTCATTTTCTGCTGCATCTTCAATAGAGGTTTAAATTGAATTCAAGCATTGACTCTGTTGCACAGAAGAGCAGCATCTGTTTAAACATCATTTAATCCTTCAACCATAGGCAAAGCATCAAAAATCTGCATCTAAAATAATATATGGTATTAACCATATGTCTACATAAGACTTAGCAAAAGAAATCATCTTCAAATATAAAATAAGTTATGTAAAAACTCTTTACTGAGCCTCATATTGATCTCCTTACATATGCAACTGACGTATGTGCCCAAATGTATTATATCTTCTGGACATTTTTTTACAGGCAACATTAGACATCATGCATGTATCATGATTCTGTCAGTGCTTTTAAGACCAAACTCAGAGTATGGAAACATCAATATCTCAATGAGGTTCTGAAACTTTTTTGGTTCAATAAAATGTTAACAAAAGAAAATATTCTTGGCTGATTGTCAGAGTTTCTGTAGACCACTTTGATGCTTTGCTGCAGCTGACTCATTTTTCTTTTTAAAAAGATTTTTGAGCTTCAGGGATTTCTTGCTCTTTTCTTTATCCTTGGTCCTCTCATCTCCAGTCTCGATGGGCGATACAGGAGATGTGGGGGTAACCCTTGGTGGTGGAAGAGGTTTCTCCATCTCTGCTTGCAGCCTGTTCTGACGCAGATTAGGTACTGAGGCAGAGAGGCTGGTCGGGGTTGTTGGTGTGGAGTTGCAGGACTTCTCAAGGATTCCATCATATACAAGCTGGCTCAATGGGCCAACAGTGAAAAGGTCTGAGGATGACTTCCATGGTGCCTGGGAGGTTACCATAAGGTCTGGCTGACCAATTCGACCTGGAGATGAACTTGATTCAGATGCTCCCATCTCCTCCCTCAGTGTTGATTGTTTATGTATTTCCATTGAAACATCAACACTTGGCATTCTTGGTATTCTCCTTCTTAGAGAACCAGCAGACATCTCATGTTCATCTCTCAGTATCTTCCTATTTGGTGATGGTTCTAAACAAAACTCTTGCTTCTCTGTAGATGACAAGGTGTCTGTAGGTGCATCAAATTTCTCTCTGGGTAGTATCTTTAGGGAAGCAGTATCTGTACTATACTCCAACTCCTCTCTAGATATCCTTCTTGGTGGTTTTCTTGTGGTCTCAACCATTTTGTCCATTGCTAATGCCCTCACAGAGGAATCAAGCTGGCATTCTTCTTTATTCCATGGAAGCTTTCTAGAACCTGTGTCTAGGGACATCCCTAATGAATCTCTTGTAACTCTTCTGAATACTGAGTCAAACAGATGCTCAGCATCATCTTGTACTATCTTTCTTGAGGCGCTGTCCACTGAAGCCCCCATCATACCTCTTGATATCTTCCTTGGTGCCTGTTGATCTGCTGATGCTTCTAATTCATTCCAAAGAATCTTTCTCGCATCCAGGGGTAAATCACTTCTTTCTCTGTATATATTCCGTGAAGTAGTGTCTATCAAATCCCCTATCATATCTCTCTCTACTTTCCTGGATGGAAATTCTGCATCCAACTCACTTGAAAGCCCCTTTCTAATTGTAACATCCGTGGGAACTTCCATCCTGTCTCGTGATATCTTCCTTGATGTAGCCTCTATCAAAGACTCTTCTTTGGACTTCTTCAATGAAGGGGATTCCAAAGAAGTATCCAGCACTTTGTCTTTTGCTATCTTCCTGCATGCAACATCTGCAGAAGCTTCAAGCTCTTCTATAGAAATTTTACGAACTGGAGATTCAACAACAGCTTCGATTTCTTTACTCAAAGGCTTTGTAATGGAGCTCTCTGCAAGCAGCTCAGTGTCATCATGATAGAGCTTCTCAGAGGAAGCATCAGCACTAGGACTACGCAACATTTTGCTGAGAGGAGGTGAAGTCATATAATCCTCTTGCGAGTCTCTATTAGTGAGAGAAAGGAAAGGAAGAATAAGGGGAGGAAGAAACAAGGATGGAAAGAAGGAAGGAATTAATGGAATGTCCAAACATATTGGCTCAATGCAGGTGTTGCTGAAACTGTGTAAAAATAAGGTGGCCATTAAAAGTTGTGGGCAAGCAGACATACTGTTTCTTTAGAGTTTTCAGGAAGAGCTCCTCTTCCTCATCAAAGCAAGGGTAAGGGGCTCGGATGGGGATGAGAAGGTCAGGGTCTTGCGAGATCATGGCAGCTGGTGGCTGAGCAATGACACCAGGGCGACGAGGCCGACATATGGTGGATCCTCGCGTTCGAGGAGAGCGCTTCGGTGGTGGAACTGGAACTGGAGGAAAGCCAAAGATGAACCAATCAGCGAAAATGATGAATCCAAACATAACAGGCAGTGGTGTAGTGGTAGCAATGAATATGTACCCCTAGTTTTCAACCTAAAATGTCTGGTAACACCAGAGTAGTGTTATTTGTTTCTAGAAGCTTGGTGATGTAGGGACTATTTGCAGTGCTAGTTGGTAAACTACTGTAGCTGGTGAGCCAAACACAGACACAACAGATTTTCAGCCACAAAACATGCACGTGAATCACATGCCATGGCCCTAACAGGCACCTGACTGATCACTGTGGACACCAAATAGACAAAAACCCACGATTCATGTTATTTACCTTGCATCTGTGGTAAGATTGGAGACGCAGACTCTTCTAAAAGATCCTCTATAGATCCATGTAAAGAGCTATGGCATGAACACGATGGCTGGGGCCCTCGGGGCAACCCCAAGGCAATTGATTCTGTGTAAAGCTGCGCAGTGAGTTTTGCTAGGCCAGGATTCCTGATGATGGGGAAGCTGCAGATGCGCTCAATCTGCTGCCAGCGATGGAGACGCTCCCGTAGGCAGGCTGTTACTTCACACAAGGCATTCCTTTAGGCGGTACAAAGATGTTTGTCACATACATTACGTATTACATATTTACTGGAACAGACACATTTGCACAAACCTGCACAGGTAATTTTGTGACTCACTTTGCTTCCAGGATCTTTTGGTCAACCTGGTCTAGAGAGGAGCTGTGGGCAACATGGAGAGTCCCCAGCACAGAACTCCTCTTCTTCTTAATCCTCTCTGCCTGCAAGGAAGTATAGTTTGTGGGTCAGTCAACAGGAAGTGGGTCATTCAGTAGAGATCAGGTCTATGATCCAGTGCAAATCACTCCAAATGTCTCTCCATTATCACCACTGACACACTCATGAAAAACTGTGAGATGCACAAAAAGGTGAAGATGAAAAGTTGCTCAATAATTTCCATGTATTAAGATTCTTCTTTTGTCTCTTTCCTCCTCCTGCATTACCTCGTCCTTGGCAGTGGCAAGCTGTAGTTCTGCACTGTGCTTCTTGACGTTGTAGTATTGGACCTCTACCTCATGTGTCAGCTGCAGCCACAGCTGGAGAGCATCTGAGGCAGTCCAGCTTGCCTGCATGTCCTTCTCTGCCTGCTTCAATGCCCCACGGACCTAAATGGATGCCATCAGTCAAATGTTGGATGCTACATAAGTGATTTCAAGAATTGGTGAAAACTGGCTTTCACCTATTTACAGTACAGCAAAGACGGTGAGTCACCACAGCAAACAAGAAGTTGTTTACTCTGGTTATTTGCATGGTACGTAGTGCCTACCTGTTCCAGCTCTTCCTCTGCATATCGGAGGCGGCTGAGCTCAGTGACAGCTCCCTGCCTCAGCTCGTGCAGACGGTGAGCCTCCTCCTGTGCTCCCATGATCTCATCCCGCATCTTCTCCTCCAGGTTCTGTTTCTCCTCTGCAACATTACGCTTCTCTTCTTGGGCTCGCTCCAGTCTGAGAATGTGAAAATGTTATTAGTGCAATTGAGACAAAGTCATATAGGTGATGTACAGCAAGTGACAGACAATGGAAAATTACTGAATACTCACTGTTCTTGTAGATCTATGAGACTCTGTTCTGCCCTCTGGAGACTTTCCAAATCTTTCATCATCTTGGCTATGTGGACTTTACTGGCTTTGTTTTGAGCCTGTGCAAACCAGCAGCCTCCAACTCCCATCACCACTGACACAATTAGCAGCAGATCCTTCATGTAATTATGAGGAGGACCTGTGGTGGAATGGAAGGATGATTATTAATGGTTGATGTATCATAAATGAATCATAATTGATGGGATAATGGCGAATAAAAAGGGGGATCTTAAGGACACAAAGTTAGTAACATGGAGTAAGCCAAAAACACACCTTCCATATTTTCACTGACTAGCTTTCTGTACATCCACCCACATGCCAAAATGGACTCTTCCTCGGGAGTGTGTATGTGTACAGTAGAAATGTTACTGATAATGTTAACAATGACTCTGTTCTATTTGTCGAAAATGTAGATTTTTTTTTAAAGGGTTTTTTATGGGTTTTTTTAAGGGTTTTTCACTGGATGCCAGTTGTTGTCCATCAAATATTGCAAAAGTCGAGGGAAAGTGGGAAAGCTGGACTGTACATGTGTGTGTAAATTAAATAGGCAAACAGGAACAGATCCATTCAAGAGACATTAGAGTAGGGAGAGTGTGAGGACTTAAGGTTCTTACGTGTAGGCGGCCCAAACAGAACTACGTCCAGAGCTTTGATGTTGAGCTTCTGTTTGTCTCTCTGGTCCTGAACCCTCAGATGGATACTCAGGAATGAAGGCTCATTTGCTGCAATCCTGTGAACAGATGTCACAGGCAGCACATGTTCAGCTCAACTGACTTGTTATTACAGTGACCTGCTTTGGCAACAGCACACAAGAGAGTCAGTCTTGGTCTTGGACTATAGGATCCTCAGTGTCTATCCTCACCTGGGTAGTGTGTTTCCATTGACCTTAAAGTCTTTAAAGTTTCTCTCATACTGTGGCAACTCAACAAACTCCTTCAGCCAGCGAAGCACCTCATCTTGTGTCCAATTATGTACTGAAAATTGAGACAAGGAAAGAAAAAGTCAGACAAAGTAGAGCTTGACACGTTTGAAGAAAATAAAAAATAAAACAATGCATCTACACACACCTTCAGATGACTTCCAGCCCCTCCAGAGCTCCTCAACTGTGATATGTTGGTCTTCTCTGTGCAGGTTGCTGTGCTTGTTGGTCTGCTGCTGCTTCATGTCTTCAATGATGAACTGCATAAATGGAGGGATACAGGAATAAAGAATTTTTTTCAGACACAAATTTCAAAAGCCAGGTTAGAGGTCACCAGCACATAACATTAGCTGAGCACAAACTCTCAGACTCCCTGTCCAAAATAAATTGGGTGGGTGTCGCAGTATGTTATGTCCTTGGATTTCAATCTAGGAATAATGAGTGTGTGTTTTGGGACTGTATTTATTTAGAGTGGATGCAGAAGCATGAGTGTGTATTGCAAACTTCAGAGATTATGTGTACATGGTTGTGTGTGTTAGTGCTGTCTTGGAATGTGTTCTTGGCTGCAAACGGAGGCTTCATATGATGGCTAGAGGAATCTTGGGGCTATGTTCTGATGAGTCCAGGCCCCTCCCCTGACATTTCTATGGCAACCGCAACCCGAGCCCCTGGATACTGTATCCCTGCACTGCATTCTGGAAGGCGAAGGCATTCCGGAATTCTGGGTTTACTATCAATGTCACATACAACTAGAGACTCACAGACTCTCTGGGCAAAATGCTTTTCTACCCTGGATTCTATTTACTCTGAAATATTAAACTGAACACAAAAAGAATACACAAATCACTAAGGCACATTTGCACATGTGCGCAAACATGTTTTATATGCATTTAATATGCCTTTACACACGTACAGAGCCATACACAGAGATCAAATTGATTACTTGTTCACATGATTGAATAGAAAAGTTTTGATAATGCCAGTACTTCTTTGATTTTTGACTTCTCAATTACATGTTTTTTTTGGTTTTTTTATCCCACATAAAAATATGCTTGGAAACTGTTAAATATTATAGGTCTGACAAAAAAAACACATACATTTGTGGTATTTATGAATTGATTGATATACTATCTTTATTTATTTATTTATTATTTGACAATAGAAATTCATGCAATTATCAAATTCAAATATATTAACTTTGATAAATATTTCTTCACTCTTTTGTTTCAAGATGTTTGTGAAGAATATAAGAAGGTGGAGTAAGGAAACATTAAGAGGAGTTATACTCTTAATTATATCTATGAAGGTCACCAATGTTCCAGTATTCTTTTAGTCCAAACCAATTTTGTCACCGAGCCAAAAGCAAAAGTTATACCCTTGCTATCCTTGAAGTAGCATTTGACTCTACCACCAGCCAGGACACCTGTTGCTGCACTGCTTTACCCTTTCTGCTTCCTGCATGCAGGAACATACAAGCGCTAGGATTTACAACAGATTAGTAGATAGGTTAAATATTTGATGAAGAGCAAGTTGTACCTCTAGACTCTCCTCCACCTCAATCCCTCCATCCTGGTCATCGTCCATCATCTGATGGATGCTCCGCAGGGCCTCCAGGCTGTAGCGATCTGCCTCGCTCATACATGGCGGAGACACCACCATGCAGGGGTCTATGTGTGTCAGGAAGGCAACGACATTTTATGAATCATTACTTCACTCAACATATCCAAGGAGTACCTTTCAGTTATTCATCAATCCAGCTCAGCTGATCAGTTACACTGATCTACAGATTGAGCACTATCTTTTCTGTGTGTTCACTGCTCCTTTTAGAGCAGATACAAGGAAAGCTAATCACATCTGCTCAGCATTGAGTGAATGTGATTCTTTTGGCCCATACAGGGAATGCAGAATAGTGCACATATTCTTATTACTTATACTGGGCATCAGATAAGTCTCATCAGATAAGTCTTTTCTGTTTGTCTATCCAAAATTTCAACATTTCCACGAAAAATAAATATGAATCAATGCCCATGGTTTCTCTTAAAATACAGCCTGGACCCAAAATAATTTATTGCATGTTTATCAAAAGGTACCTTATGGGGCTTTCTGTCTATTAACACTTAAATCCCCCCTAAATATCTGCAAAGTGCAATCATTTCGATCCACATAAACTAGACAAATATGCATAATAAACCAACTGCACAATCAGTACGATACACTGACAAAAAAATCTCACCTCAAGATCCATTTATTAGCTTCTAAATGGGCCATGAAGTGACATTGTTTTGGCAACTGCTGTTTCCAAGGACAAGAGAGAACCTCGATCCATTTGTTGCTGACATAGAAATAATGCAATACATTACATTAGACCTGTGTTTTCATCAGTCATTCAAAGCATGTTTACCACCATTACCATGAAGTGTCAGAGTTGTAACCTTCTTTGTTTTTCAAGATCACGTCATTGCCCACTCTACAACCAGAGCTCTTATGTACCATAGTTACTCTTGTGTAGTTATGTATTTGTAGAAGTAATAATAGGTGGTAGGTTTAGTCAGTCAAGTCATATAAATCAATCCATAGATCCTGTGCGCCAAAACCAAGAACACACTGGCAGACTTTTGCAGACAATGTGTACTGAATGTACTCGGTCACACGACGATGAGTCTCTGGAAAATCAGTCATCAAGGCCAAATCAACTGTTGTAATTAGGCTTTAAATCGTACAATGTGTTCCAGCCATAAGTACAGTACAGCAACACAGGTGACGCACAGCTTTCTGTCATCTGTCAGTCTAGTGAGTCAGAGCCCATTTTTGTCTCTGTGACTCTAGAGATTTGGTGCTCCAAGGAGCTCAAGGGACAGGGGGTCAAACGCCTGCCAGTTAAACCCACTATCATAGCCAGCTTCAGTTAGACTAGCCGCTCCCTGCCTACAATGTAAGGAAGAATAAAACTATGGGAAACTAGGAAAATGTGATTTGTGCAAAAAAATATTGGTATCAATCTCAGAAGTAGTAGTATTTTTTTTTTATGTGGAGCAAATCCTCTTGCAACTAGTCCAATAAAAGTCAGCACTGGACCATAGGAGTATGTTAGTGCTAGATGATCCTGCAACATGGATCTACTAGGTAAGCATCAGGCGTGCCCATGAGGTTTCTATAGATGCAGAAAGAAGACACTGAAAATAAGGGGATGGAATGACCTATAATGATTGTTTCTTTGTTCGCTGTCTGCTTTGGTTACATTTGCCATGAGTTTTCTTTCAATAATTATTTGATATGGCAATAAATAGTTAGAATTCTTGACAATCTGCACTTGACAATGTCAGTATTCTGAAAAACATTCCCACAGCCAGGAGATGTAGACTGTACCACCAATGTACAGAGCAACGACACTGATCCCCTGGTTGATGATGAAACTTGTATTTCTTAATAGAGTAGAGACATCTCAGCTGGATGGGCTATCAAATATCTGTGGTGTATGCAAAGGTCCAGAGTGTGTGTGTGTGTGTGTGTGTGTGTGTGTGTGTGTGTCTGGGGGAACTCCCCATACGACCTGAGTTTAACCTTTTCCACAGGTGAGCTGAAGCTGTTGTGCTGGGCAGAGGATTGGAATAGCTGGATTAACTACGAAGACAGACTATTTAAAAAATCCCTTGACAAGGTCATGCAAGATTTAATAGCATCATAAAATGTTTTAGTTCATGTAAAGAAAGACTGCGGGTTTTGTTTCCCAAGCATCATATGCAAGATTCACAAAGACTCCAAAACAAAACAGAAAGTGTCCTGATAATTTGAGCTGTTCTTTTAGGATTAGTTGCCTGTCGAATAATAGTGTTTTAACATGAGTAAGCTCACTCCATCGTTCAGTATCATCAAAATGGTCTGAATTGGCTGAAAAATAAGCTAAGTAAAACTGTTTCTAGTCAAGTCAAGTAAAAAATGAGAATAAAATAGAAAAAAACTTACAAAGATCTATTTTAAGATTGTGTACCAGTCGAAACAACAATTTAAAAAAAAATGTTTTTATAAGCCCTATTATAATTTACAGAAACAGCATGACTGACTGTCGTTCTTAGATGTGACATGTGCAAATTAGACTGATGTGCTGCCAGCCAATGTCCAGCGTTCCCATTTGATTGAGTCTGTGGATGCATCATTCAGCACATAGGCCTACCTGTTGGGTCAAAGCCTGCGCTCCCACCGGGCAGGGTGAAACCCTGGAGGTCCCCAGCGCCTTGCGCGGCCACAAAGACCACAGCGGGGAAAACGAGCAGCAACAGAGGGGACAGAGGCAGCATTTCAAATGGCAGACAATATTTCCGTCCAGAGTCGAGAAACTCCTCAAAACAAATGAAGAAAGACTATATACGGCACCAACAGTTTAGGGGGCACCCCTGTCAGTCTGCGCAAAGCGTTAAGCGATCTGTGTTGCTATTACGGGTACAGCCAGGAAGCGAGATGTGATACTGATGATTCACTTGAGAAATCAGGCAAGATGGATTAGTGTGCAACCTGAAATGTATAATAGCGCACGAAAAAGTTTCAAAACACTTTAAAGAAACTCTGCAGTAATGATTTGCAGAGTCATCCAAACACTAAGGCTGTGCGTAAAAGTTCTCCAAAAATGGATAATCCGAAAAAAACCGACAGATTCCGCTATGATAAATCCATATTATGTCAAATAAAAACATCAGAAGAAATGGTCCTGAGAGTGATCCATCCTTATTTGAAAAAACACACGCACAGCAGATCTAAGGACTTGAAGGGCGCAGGAAACCAGATCAGGTTAGGTCAGAAGATGGAGGAAACATCGGTTTATAATCCTGCTCAGGGCGCATTCACCTTCTCTGTCCCTCGTGTCCAGTTGTCTGCTTTGTGTCGGCTGGTGTTCTCTTTATAAACCAGATTATCTTACTTGTCCAGTTCTGTGTTCTCTCTTCTGTCAGCCTTTTCCCCAACAGACGTCAAGCTGTGACTCTCTCTCTCTCTCTCTCTCTCTCTCTCTCTCTCTCTCAACAGGGCCCCCCAACACTTTATTATGTTTCCTAACCCAACCCCACTCTCCACTCCACACACTTTGCTACAGTGTTGATCCAGTGACCTCCTTTTTTTTCGACCTCCATTTGTTACAGAGCTGAACAACTGCTTATAATGCTCAACAGTGAGGGGTAACACCACCCCATGAGCTAACTAGATCGTTTACTATCCTCCGCATTTTCTGGCCTTACTGGTTCTGGTTTAGGGATCAATTAAAGCCCCCTAGACTTCACTATGGGAAATGTTGCTTGAGATCATGACTGTGCCAGGAATAGCACGTCATATGTCACGTCATGGCCTGGCCAGATCTTCAAGCTATGCCATGGATTTAGCAAATGTTTGTACACCTGTTTGGGTTTCTGATGATGTCCATATGTGGCTTGTGATTGCAAAGTCTTTGACACACTTGTACAGAAAGCACTGGTCAGTCTGTCTCAAAGTATTTTAGTATAAATTATTAGTATAAAGTGTGAGGGACACAAACAGACCACACAACTCTCTCTCTCTCTCTCTCTCTCTCTCACACACATACACTAAAAGTAACAAAGTGTCAGATTTCATTCCAGCAATCTGGCTCCCAGTTTAAAAATAGTGAGGCAGATTTGACCTCTACCCTGTGGAGCATGCCCAAGTGGTAAGTGTCCAATAAGGCCTCAGAAGGACCTGTGTGAGTATACAGTATATGTGCATTTTGATTATATCTATCCTTAGTCTTAGAGCTCCTGGTCTGCTCAATGATGATGTGTATGAAACAAAGAGACACCTAAACACATACACAAGTGACCTTGAGCTTCAGCTCATTTTTATTCTTGACCTTTTGCTGGCAGATTGATTTACGTGCTGTATGACAGAGTTTTAAACAAGACTGAAAGATGTAGGTTTCATATAGGGATAGAGCAGTGGAAAACAAAAGGCAGGATATGAGAGCAAAGACATTTAACTCTCCAAACACAAGAAAGAAAAATGCTCATAAAGCCACCAGTCTAATTACATGATGAGGTTTTGTTAGCATGCTAGCTCATAGCTGACCTTATGACAGCACTACACTGCCTCACACATGGCCTTGTTGACATTAAGTAGTACAAGACATCAAAGCAAGGCATGGATGAGAATACAGATACGAAGAAGAAACCAACAAGGTAAGATTGAAGGTCCACATCACAGTGACCAAAAATTCAATAATTTGTCAATAATATGTGCAAATCATAAAGAATATCACAGACCTCCACAGACTTCTGCAGAGCCAGGCAGGGATCACACTACAGTGTTGATGTAATACTGACAAATCCACAAACTTGCTGTTACAGAACTTACATAAAACGTTTTCTATCAGTCAAGAGAGAGAAGCACCTGCAGTATGCTGCATCAATCCAACAACTGTCTACTGAGAGCATGGAAAGAAAATGATAGGAGAGTGGACGCAAAGGCTGATCAGACTGGTGCTCAATGCTGCTGGACTGTTGTGATGTAAATACTTTTCTACACAACAACATCTACTTTCAGGTAAGCTGAAAACACATATTCAACAACTTAAGTGATTCACATCACCATCATTAAAACTTCCAATTGTTAATAAGCAGGTCAACCTGCCGCATTTACTTACCACATATTACTTAAATGTCAATCTTGAAACACGATATACAGCATGATGCAAAAAGAATGATGCAAATGAGGGTTCTCTGTAAGTACTTTTGAGCAAGACAGGTACTGCAGGTAGTGGTTTTTAAGGCAAGTTAACTATCAATCCTGTACAAAACCATCACCTCATCACATAAGACCCAAAGCACAAGCACAGCTCATTGTATTAAAATTAGTTCTACTGTATTTGCAGCCATGTTTGACAAAACCTGAATCAACAAGGCTCAATCCCAACATGATGTTACTGGGCTATCATATGTGAACAGCAAGGGTAGGCCTGCAAGCTACAAGGCAGAGACGGTGTTAAAGCTCTTCTTCCAACACGTAAGCGCAATCTCAAACGGACTCTTTAAGGCCCCTCCAAGTGAAAGACATCAAAGAGGCAAAAAGTCACACTAACGATTTGAACTTAAGACAGTTCGTTTTGACATTCCTTCTTTGTTCCCCGACTATGTCTGAAAATATGGAGGAGATTAGGACCCAAAGTTCCTCCAAATTAAGAATTTTGTTTAAAGGCATCACTACTGTGAAAAAACAAGAGGAAATGATTATGTTCAGATTTGAGTTTAAACACTCTGGTACAGAAACAGCATACTGATTACTAAATTTAGACCTTGGTCTCCCAGAATACACTGATAGTGTAATATATTATCAAAAACACGCACGCACACACACACTCTACGCTCATCAAAAATATCATTTTTGATAGAGTAGTAAGAGACTGAACAGCTACGCCAATAACTGCAGCAAGATGGGCGCATAACTTCACTGTCTAAAACACAGTCTTGTTGTTTCTTTTATATTGTTTACAGCATGTAGAATTGTTAAAAGTTCTGTAATGACAATTTAGTAAGTATGCATTTGGGTTTCTAATTCCAAAACACATCAGTGGATATTAAAAAAGAGGTGAGGATAAAAGTAGAGAATCTGCAGTCAGACTATTGGAGATTTACTAAAAGCCGTTTCCACTTTAACCTCTCCACTGAGACAAAACTCAGACAGGAGCCAACATGACAAACTCTATTTGGTAACAAAAGTGAACTTACTATGCAGTATCATACAAAAAAATGTCAAAATGTACCTCAGCAAAAGCTTATAAAATATAATATGAATAAAATAATATAATAATATTCCTTGGTCCGCAAAAACTATGTTACTCTTACAAAATGTTTCCCTTGCTCACAACAGATAAAATCAACAAGCTTTTCAGTAAAAACATGACCTTGGCAGTAAGAAAGCGTAGTGAACATAGCTCTCAAATTCGCAGGTGTATAAAAACAAAATGGTTCTTTTACAAGTCTGGTTGCTGTGAGAGTCAGATGGCAGATTCATCTTCTTTTAGATAAAGATCTTGGATGTCAAGGTCCTCTGAGTGGTGCTTATGACATGTCCACAACAGTCCACAAGAGGGAGCTAAGGAGAGGAGTTAGTTATCTTAAGTCTTGTCTTTGAACTTGTCTTTTTTTCCCCCCAAATCTCTCTTGCATTCCTCATGATTCTGCAGTTGCTCTCTCATGAAGAGTTTCCAAGTCTGTGCAATTCTTCACAGGTCCATGAGCCTCTTTGGAAAATACATGCATGCATTTTCTCACTCATTCATAGCACACATACAAAACAACACACATACACATTAGAAATATGTATAACTATGACAGCACCGACATGGTCGATGCTCCTGATGACATTCCTGAGTCACTACTGTTGTAAGCCCCCTGGCCGTCCCCGAGCCCACCCAGCGAGGATGATGGCGAAGATGAAGACGCCGGTGATGACGAAGAGGTGCTATGTGACCGCAGAATGGCCCCAGCAGCACTGCAGTGAGGTCGTGGCCCTGGCTCAGGGGTATACGTGAAGGTGAGGGCGGTGGCATAGATAATTCCATCATTGCGGACCAGCGTGACAGGGACCTGCACCGGCTGTCTCACCCAGCGCCAGCCCTCCCTGAAGGCAGAAATGTCCGGCACCACACACAGGATGCTCTCTCCACATCTTATTGGGCGGACAAATGAAACAAGGTTTGAGTACTGAAGTCATTACACACTAATATGCACTCACAAATATAAACACTCACCTGTACATAGTGTCAGCCTCCACATCTCCGAACCACACTCTTAGGTTAGGGGTGAAGTTCTGTCCGGTCAGCTCTAACATCGCCACATCTCCTCCGCCATTTAACTTCACACAAAAAAAAAAAAAAAAAAAGTTTTATATCCTTAAAAAATGTCCCTAGAAGCTGAGTAAACACTTAAAAGGGAAGTAGTTTGTAACCAGAATGACACTTACATTTACTGATAAAAAAGCATGACAAGCATATTTTCAACAGAATAGACTGTGCAAGTACCTGCAGACTTTCCACCACAGGAACAGGTGTGACTGGTGTGGGGACAGGGCCCATGCCCTCATAAAAGGTGTACTCTGCCTTGTCAGTGCTAATAATAGTCCAGGAAGCCCCATCGTTAATAATCTCTTTGTTAGTCTCTTTGGAGCACGGTGAGGCCTGGAAAATAAAAAAAAATAAAAAAAATAAAATAAATTTTCACTTCCTGCTTTATGTAAACTGAAGGGAAAAACACATATGTGCAAGCTACCAGAGTGTTAGGTAGGAACTTGCCAAAGACTCTCTTCTCTTGCCCTGAAGTGCTCAATAAAAAAATGTCTATTCAAACAACAGGTCCTGTGAGCAGTGTTCTAAGCAGACAGGTTAATATTCTGCTGGCTATGGGAAGAAACAGCAGTATTATCCTAGCTTGATTACATTCTCTTTGTTTCTTTTTATCAAAAATGAAAATACAATCAGTAGCTTAATAATACAATCTACATCTTAAACTACTTCATGTTTGAATTATGGGTAAATTTTTAATGAATTTTGGCAACAATGGTGCCAAACAGAATTAAAATCACTCCAACGATACAATTGCCCACCTGGAACTGGATGATCCTCTCCTGTGAGAGACAGAGATACATCCTGTCTGTATCTTTCAGGTAGAAGGCGCACTTGTGGAGCTGCGAAACTGGGTCATCTGCATCCATTAATGCCGTCTGCTTGTCCACTTTGCGAATGACCTGAGGCATTGAGGCACGCACACGCGCACACACACACACGCACGCACGCACGCACGCACGCACGCACGCACGCACGCACGCACGCACGCACGCACGCACGCACGCACGCACGCACGCACGCACGCACGCACGCACGCACGCACGCACGCACGCCCGCACGCACACACACACACACACACACACACACCATAGATACACACAAACAAAGATATGTATATGTATTTAGATGCACCACTGGTATGAAAGCACTTTCTCACATACTATTTGACAATAAACACATGCATACCAGTCTGGGCAGGGCCATGCCAGTAACAGAGCAGACCAATTTGACAGTCTGACCATAATGGATGTAGCCATCCCTCACAGCAAACTCCTCCCCTTCAGACTCTTCGTCATCCACTAAACAAAAATCACATAACACAATAATCACTTAAGTGTCCCTAAATAATCAAGGGACATATGAGATAAGATAATAATACTGTAAATTGTGTGTACTCATAGCAGGTAACCTGTTGTTCATCAATAAAAACAGGAATCACAGTAATGGGCACAGAGGATAAAATAAAATGGGAAAAGAAAGAAAAAAAAGAACGTTAATAAAGAAAATGGTGACTCACAGAGGTGGATGTAGAAGGCACCCCACTGTTGGGAGCTGGCATGAAAGTTTCCTCCCTCCACATGAAGATACCTGGTACTAACCGTCTGGGAACGCAGGCGGTTAAACAAAGCTACCTTAGTCCCTGAAGCTATACACACTGGAATGACAAAAAGAGAGAAAGAGTGAGTGAGGACAAAGGGAGATAGATAATACAGTGTTTCTACAGGCCAACAGAAATTAAAATATTTTTCAAATTAAAATTAAATGTCTATATGTGCTGGCCTTACATGAGATAAAATATGTGTGTATTTGTACTGACACAGTCTGCAACTCACAATCTGCATTTTTCAAGGACTGTTTCTTCTTGGAGGGCTTGGAGATCACCTTGATCCTCTTGCTGAGGAAGACTCCTATGTTGGCGCTGTTTCCGTATAACATTTTCACAGAGAGCATGAAGTGTTTCCTTTTATCTGAGTCACTGATATACAGTGTTTTCGCTGTGCAGAAGTGCTGACGTAGGGAAAACAAACAGGTTAGGGGATTTTGTATGAGAGTGTGTATTTGTGTTTGTCCCATTTTCACTTCCCTCTCAACTTATTCTCAGAACAAGTTCATGAATGACATTGGTGCAGTAAGAAAACAATATCTGCTATAGTATGAACATAGTTAACAGGGCTGCAGAGAAAAACAGAGGATATGGTCAAACTGCAAACTGCACAGCAGCTGTACCTTTCATGCTGTGGTTACTTTGCATGGTTCATCAGTGGTAAAGCAGAATAATGTACTAACAAGTTCTTGCTAAAATGACTGAAGTGAGAAGAGTTTTATCTACAGTGTGCACTGCTACAATCATCAGAAAGATATATATAATTCTGCAGTAAGGCGTTATTATAAATGACTACACACCTTCCCCTCCAGATTGAGTTGCTGCATCTCCTGCTCACTGTTGCCTATGCCAATGAATGCACATGGCTGGGCCTCTTGCTCGGTGCAACCGTCCTTCTCCATATTCTCCAACTTCTTCTTCCAGCCACTGCCCATCAGATACACACATGGTGGAGGGCAGAAAAACCTATTTGACAACAACGTCCAATGCATCAGTAAAAATTTCTCTATGAAACACACACACACAAACTCAAAATCAACTACAAACCTTTTTTCATTGCCGTATGACTTTTGTGCAACTTTTGCATGCAGTATGAGCACTGTTTGATCATCTTTCTCCTTCAAGTAATTCCTCATAGCCTCCCTGAAATGGAGGGGGGAGAACAAAGTTTAACACTTTGACAGCACAGTACAAATTATTCTTGCATCTTCTTTAATCAAGTCATTTTCCATTAGCTTTCTGCACTGATTTAAAAGTGTTGAGCTCTGTGCAATGTGAAGGGGTGCTTTATGTTTCCCTCTACCTTGTCAAGCGCTGAGGCTGAGGGCGCTCACCAAACTTCCTGCAAAACAAAAACATCAGAGTGCATAGTGTTTACTTGTGGTGTCAGTGCTTGGCTACTGTAGCATAGATTAAAAAAAAAAAAAGCTTGACTGAAAGTGGGTGAAAAGAGACAGGCGCACAATGTCAGTGACATCTGTGAATGCAGGTGTGCTTAGGCTTTCATTCTGTATTGAGAACTCAGATAGAAAACACACATATGGAAACAGTTTGCCCTTATAATTTAGATTTTGAATGGCGGTACTGTACAGTATACAATAATGTGACAATGTATATGATTTGTTTTAAAAGTTTCAATGGTGGAAAAACATTGTGAACTGACCATTTTATATTTCGAGCTACACAGTTTTGTGAGGAAAATTAAATTAAACCAATAAATGTATGCTAATCAAGGTATATTCAGCTATAACTACTTAAAGCAGTTGCTATGACGTTAAAGTAACAATGTTGCAGTCTGGGGAGTTTGTAATGATATTACATTGTTTCTGCACTCAACTTACTGAAACAGAAATTAAATAGACACAAAAGAAGTAGTTAAGCTCGAATGCAAAACTGTTGAATGACAAAAAGTTTCTAAAATAGTTTGAAACTGATTTAATATCGCACGACAGCTCAACAAATGGCAGAGAAACCAGGCGACACTACGAAGAATAGTTTAGCACAACAGACCCCACATCAAGCCTCAAAGTACCACAGTGTGGGGTAGGTTTACTGAGGCTAAGGCGGCAGTGTTGACACGCAGAGTCATCACTCGGAAACACCACAAACTGGCAACGGTTTACCATAAGAAAATAAAACTTTTTAAATAAAATTATGCCTTGACCACTTACCCCGTAACAACGGGCGCCATCTTCCGATTAACTCTCCCCCCCGAAGAAAAGTCCCAACAATCGCGAGATCCCTCCCACAGCCCCCCTCACCAAAGCCAACGGCACAACAGAAGAACCAGACTGGAAGGGAAAAGAAGGGAGAAAAAGAGGGGGAGGTGTGACGGGGCAAAGGGGTGAGAAGAAGGAGAGGGAGGGAGGGAGGGGCGACGGGCAGAGGGCAGACGCCAAAACAACAGGCGTGGGAAAGTTACAAAGCCGCGCGAGAGCGGAAAAACTCTCACAATAGACATGAATAAAGGTGGACCAATTATATCGCGAGATGAAGAGGCACCCTCACAACTTGCTTTCTTTCAGAAGTCAGTTACACTGTAACTCGATTCCCACGCCTTATTGAGCAATAAAGCAAACTACACCTCCCTACGTTGAAGAGACAGAAAGTGCAGCTTGAAGATAAATAGGTATAACATGAGCTGTAATACTGGGAATACATAGTCTTATATCATTTCTTCACATGACCTTTATGAGACGAATAATTGTTATTCTTAGAGATATTACAATGTGACCACATTAGAACAGCATTACAATAAAACCTCAAAGCCTCAAACAACAGCAGAAAATTCTTTGGAATAAGATTTATTACATAAACTTACTTCATTTTCAAATGGTGAATATAAAAGAAATAATTGTATAAAAGTTTGAAAAAATGAATTCCATCAAGAAAAGACAATACTAGATTAGCAATTATTCAAAGGTCGCTCGCAGCATTTAGATTCATATTGACCATATCGTTTTCCAAAATCCATAAATCCATAAATGTTACAAGTTATATTAACTGCCAATTGCAGAATAGGGCACATCATCAAATATATACCCAGTTTATAGGTTAAAACTAATTAAGTGCAATACAACAGTCCTGCAATAAATCTCCCCTTCATGATGGTTATAAAGTTCAGTTTGTATTGAAACTGCTTTAAACTGTTTTAGGGAGGTGCTGATGTAACTTTATGGTCATTTTGGAGGCTGGAGGCTGCAGTCCCCCCCCCCCCAAATTCATATCATATATCAGGCCTATTGTATTAGACTGCAATAGTTTTAGCTAGGTGTGCCTACTAATCTTACATCTGAGTGTATGATGTATTTTCAAATCTCAAAATTTAACTCCTGCACATGTACATACAGTAGATTTTCTTTCTGGAAATTCACGACACATTTAACATAATGTGGAAAAATGGCTACTCAAATATAGCAGACTTTTGGCAAGAGAAAGACAAATCATTTTTGTCAATGCAAACATAAAACTGGGCATGTGTAGTTGAGTAAAAAGGGCAGTATACACATGCACTTAACCAAAATGCAAGACAAGCAACCTTCAGTGGGTCAACTGACAAGCCCTCCTTCACTCCCCCTCATCACTTGTTAACACGCAGCATCACATATCACACCACTGGTCCCTTGATAAATGAAGGAGTGGGGTTGGGGATTGCAAATGGAAAACACTTGCACTTGAGTTGGCCTACTAACTCACAATAATAAATGCTAATAGATGCTGGGCGTTATTATTTTAAAACCACTACACACTGTTTCTCTTTTCTTTAAATATCACTTCCACCTTCTGTTGTGCAGTGGAAATGATGAATGCATTCTTGGTAGTCTTTTTTTAAGAACATACATCATTTTGCTGTCTCCTTCTGCACTTGAAAAGTCAGTCTCACAAAAACCCACTTCAGCTTTCAGAGTAACAGCTGTAGCAGGGATTCTCCCAAGGGGAAGTCAACAAGAGCTTGTTAAACCACTACTGTGACACCCTGCTGCTGTAGTCTGGGACACAAGATGAGGAATGAAACCTGTATCTACAACACTTAGTCAAACAGTAGTTTAACAATGTCAGTCTTTATAGTTCTCAAATTCTTTTCTAAGTACTATTCTTGGACAAGTTCTTCCTGAGTCAGTTAAGATATTTGGCAGAGATCAGCTGCTTCATATCTGAAGATCTTTGGGAGTCTTAAAACATTTATGGTCCTATAACTTACTGACTGAGAATTAAAAAAAAAAAAAAAAAAAAAAAAAAAAAAAAAAAGAGTGCTGTTTTAAAGAAGAAACCCTTATATGTTCAGAGACAGCGAACCATCATAGTTTTGACAAAATATATCAGCCTCCTATTTTCTGTTCTCACATTATAACTCACATTATAACTCCAGCAATTCTGATGTAAACAATGTCTTCTGCTATTATTTGTCTGAATGCCCCATAATTTAGAGGCCCCACTTCTAAATTTTCCAGAAAATTTTCTTTCTGTAGAGCACATAGGAGATAACCACCCAACAGGAAGTAGCCACGAGGTTCTGGGTGAGGTGTTCAGCGTGGGATTGGCTGTTGGCCATGCGCCAACGGAAGGGGAAGTACTCTTCAAACACTTCATGGCCCACATACACAAGGATGGAGTTCATACCTGTAATTACACACAGGGGTGAGAGTAGAGCAAAGGTCATGATGATTACAGAAACATTCAGACAGAATCTACAGTTGGTACATTTGGTATATTTCATTTTTCAGTACCCTAAAAGACAGATCATGCCAGTTCAGTTATTTTGTGGACTTACAAGTACTGATATTTGAGTACTTATCCACAAAACCCTGATCTCTACATTCTTACCAACTCAATTAGAAACTGTATTCATTTTGGACAATCAAAGCTTGCTTTGGTAAGAATTTGGTTTAAAGGTCAAAAATTCACATTCCTAAAATTGTCCACTAATCCGGCTCTTTGTGTCTAATAATAGTGCTCACCAGGGTAGTAGAAAGGTGCTCCAGACCACCACTTCTTTACATCCACCGTGTAGTAGACCAGAACTAGCAGCACAAAGGCAAAACAAGCCAGTGTTGTCACATAGGACAGAGACCTAAGAGTCAAACAGACAGAAACATGCCGAGTGGTTAAATGTGTCTTTTACAGCAAAAATGTATCTCTCAAGGCTATCCCAGGAGGACTGGGAAATTTTTGTTTATCTGGAGATGAGAATTTTTCTCTGTTGAAACTCCACAAAACTACTTTCATACAACACACAACAACTCCGCACCTATATTTTAAAGCACATTTCTTCGCAGTGGCTGGTGCTAAAGGTTAACAACTGTGCTGACTGTGCTGAGCAATGCACTGGCATGGCTGCGTGTCCAGCTTGGCCTTGTGCTCAAAATTTAACATAGTTACACTTTTAGACTTCTGATGAGATATTTGTGTTCAATATTTGGGAGTAGGGAGATGGCTGGCTAAGAATGAAATGCAAATATGGAACCTGGATGGACATTGTGTTCATACATGTAAATATGAAGTGAGGAATTTCTCCAAATATTCAGTCAAAAACTGCGTTTTATAAAAAAAAAAAAAAAAAAAAGGAATTGCTGAGCAAATCTTGTTCCATCTGAAAGTGCTTAAAAGCAAACTTTACCATAGGTTTTTGTTGACAGGAATGAAGCCCTGGTCTGTGGAACACTTGGTCAGAAGTGCTGATATGGCACCCTGTGTGTTACAAGAGATTATTTAATCAAAAAGGGGAAATGCTCTTGAAAATGAATGTTTTTAGGAAAAGTCAAAACATTGTGACTGAGACACTACTTTGTAATGCAATGAGTCATTTAGTACACTCACAAGTAGCAAAAAACTGATATAAAAGTGTGTACATACTGTAGAAGTACAACATACATAACAAGTTCATGTGCTTACCAATAAGAGACCCCATATAAGAAACCTTGACATTATACTCCTGTGGAGTTCTCTGTAGTGTAAGATTATTTTTCCTGCCTGTGGAAATACAACAATTAAAATCAAAATTTGATTCCCTTTGGTTTTCCAATGAGCTATATTATTATTAATTTTGACATCAGAAATATGCATAGAAGCAAGAGAAAAAGAGAAAGAGAAAATGAATTCCTCAATTCATATAATTCAAACCTGTAATCCAAGAAAAGCCATGAGGACAGAGTTGATGCTGCCAAGAACACCTTCTGGATCATATGGCATGTGCGTTGCAAAAATCACCTTAATTAAAAAGGAAACAGAAGTGGATTTTTGTAAATTACCCTAAAGTTCTAGTACACAGTTTACCCTTGCATCACCTGTCATGTCAGCATGGTTGGGGTTAGAAAGTGTTTGTTGACCTGTGAGAAAGAAACCTGATATGTAAGCTCAAGCTTAAAATCCCAAGTTATAAAAAGACTGAAAGTGTCTGCCGCTGGTATGTTTGGGTTGTTTTGCTGTTCACTAACCCGTGACGAGGGAGTCTGGTAGATGTGGTTTTCTCCCAGCAGCCAACGGTCAATGAAACCAGCTGCTCCACCGGTGCAGTTGGCATATAGACCCATGTCCCCGATCCCACCTGGACCCAGATAGCCTCTATTCAGAAGAGTGAGGTGAGGTCAGTATTACTAATGTAGGATGAGGACTATTAAGAGCAAGGTTACAGTTTCAAAATAAATACGAGTTTGAATGGGGATTTGGAATTAATTTTATCAGCTCTGATTTCAGTTTTGATTCTCCTTATTAACTCACTTGTTAATATTTTTTATCAATTCCTTTACGATAAAAGAAAAACTATATACAGACTTGAATGTTAATTTCAATCTAGTTTCATCATTGGTGAGTAAAAGAAACTAAGTAAAAATTACAGTAATTACAGGAGACAAAAAAGTCAGTATCAACTTCTTAACATTTGTCAGTGTCAGAAATCAGTTAGTGACAGACACTAGTAAAGCAAAGCATGATAATCAGACGGAACTGTGATTAAATTTCACTTCATGATAGAAACACATAGACACATAGTAAAGACAGAAGACACATGACACAAATACTCATCAGAAGTGGACAAAACCGCATTCTCCATATTACATGGGTCAAAAAGACACACAAACATGCCCTGCTCAACTCACGTTGGGCAATCTGGTACAGGAAGTTGGAAAGTGAGGAATAGCCAGATGCTTTCTAAGAGAAGCACACACAGCCAAGCTGGCCAGTACAGCAAGATGTCAAGGCCAGGAGACCACCAAGCACCCTAGAAAACAGAGACATGTGTCCTTCAAAATACATTTAGCATAAGCACATTTATCACAGTAAATAAACCAGAGATTGCATTCAGAACATCAGAATGAATTTGTGCTTTTATGTAGCCACAGAAGTTATAGACATTTGACTAATATACTAGAGTATATTAGTATATTGAACTCAAATTTCTAAATAGAAATTTAAAGACAGAATGAGGATAAAAAGAAGCTGTTGGCTGACCGTTGTAAGGATGTCAAGGTGACCTCTCGCCACCAACAGATCCAGGCTGGCTACAACCAGGTACGACCAGGCCAGACGCTGCAACACACCTGGGATGCGCAGGTTGTCCCAAGATACTGTAGAGTGGATGAGGATGGAGTGTGAGTACTGAGAACAACGGCAGGCAGAAACCCACAAAAGGAGTAAAGAAAGTAAGAAATAACCACATACGCCCACAGTTTGGATTACTATTAAAGAACACGGTCGAATAATAATCCATATGAATGGTTTGAGATATTGAAGCCAACATAAAGAAGTGTGTTTATACTCACATGGTCCCTGGCAGTAGTTTGGGTTGATAATGAAGACACCGATAATGAAGAGCTGCAGGCTCCTCCACACAACTTTCCTCAGCAGTGCGCAGCGAGTCAAGCCTGCACGCAGCAGGGAGTTGACTGACAGCGCAATGGATGTCCCCATTATAAACACAAACCTGGTGGAAGAGGGAAACACAAATTGAGAGAAAATCAGACAAAAAGGGGAAGTGAGGAGAAAATGAGGTGAGGTTTGTTCAAAATATGAGCATTAGTTTTACAATTCTTGACTTCTCCAATTCTAGACTGGGATAAATTAATCTGCAGAACTAAGAAATGCTATACAAACTGTAGACATTTTGAACTGAGCTTACCAAGGAAAGACTAGATCTGCAACAGTAAGACCTGTAAGGAGACAAATAGGAAAGACAGGCTTCAAAATCAATTGCAAAACCAAGATCTATGAATAATGAGTGACATGGAAAAAAAACAATAAAAGTAGAACCCGTTGGGTCTCACCATTCCAGCTTGTGTGTCTAAAGAACCAGTATCGCCCCCCTCCATAGTTCACAAACACCATAATGACTAAGGAGACACTGACAGGAGACAGAGAAAATGTAACATTATTGAAAGACACTGAGCCCTCCAGGCAAGAGATTACAGAAATAGAGATAATGGTTCATCCCTTGGAACAAGAACTTTAACTTTAAAACAATGGAGCCATGTTATTATTATTAGTTGGGGCTCATTAATAACTGACATTTCCAGTGTCAGCTGCTAAAAGGTCACACTCCAGTTAGAATCACATGATATAGTCTAACCCAATAACAGACCAAGTGGTAATTCAGATTATATATTTCTTTGAGCAAGATGAAGTGCAGGGGTAAGTGGGGATGGGATACCCTCTGAATGTGTCCAGAGATCGCAGCCTCTTGCTGGGGTTGGGTGGAGGAGGGAGGATGTTGTCAGTAACGGATGTCACCGTCCTGCCAGGGGAGCCCAGTTCCTGGATGATGAAAGTAAAATTAATATATTATTATTGGAAGCATACACACTTCTGCACACAGTCATGCATACCGGTTAATACCTTTACATTGAGGGTTTGAAGATGATTGAAAAACATTTCTAGACATAAGCATCCTGTAACTGATTTTCAGCTACGATTAAACATCTTTGATTTGAAAGAGAAGTGAAGCCACCATTTAAAAGAGCTACTAAACCTCTCCACTAAAAACATAAAATTTTTAAGCATGAACAGCCCAAGAAAGCCAAGTGATGTACATTGCAAAATAAATAGATGCGGCATATATTATCTAAAATATTTTATATTATAATACAAACGTCACATTTTCCAAAACAAACTTTCGAACTGCTCTACAATACAAAATAAAAATATACAGTGTATCAGGGCATCACTCATTTAAAAATATACCAAAATATCTGGTATATTAGTCAATCCTTAATAATTAAGCTGCAAATTGTTTACTTGTTTTGGTGTAATTAAAATTTCCCTACATAGGAACACTCACAGAGTTGATGAGCCTTTCTGTCTCCATGGAGCCACTAATTCGGAAGAGGATACCTTTCACTACATCAAGCCTGAACAACAAAAATAATCAACCAGGTTAGGAGTTATTCTATAATAACCACAAGCTCAAGATACAAGGCACAGTCAGGACATAAAAAACAGAGAAGATTATGATTATGACACAGCACCACAACAAGTATCACAAATTATTCAAATCTAATGAAATTAGGCTATCATTTATTTAATTTATCATTAGATTGATTTTGTTTGTATATGTACTGTGTAGATTTTCTAATCAGTTCAAAACTCATTTCAGCTGTACTTGGGAATTTATTGCATAAATAGAGAGGAATGAAACATAAAATTAGATTACCCTAATAATGTTCTTCCAATGGCAGACACCACGGCCAGTCCAGCAAAGATAAGAAAAGCTACCAATATCGCTGTGGAAATAGCGGGACATTAATAAGATGTAGTGTGTACTTGGTACAGAGTGGGAGAGGTGAAAATAGCATCAAAACAGTATGACATGACATACGTTCATGTCACACAAGCTTATCAATGCGTTTATGTGTGAGACTCACGTATGTAGCTGTTGATGGGGTCTGCATCATTCACTACAGAGCAGTTGACCACTGAGGAGTCATTTAGATTTTTCACCCACAAAGAGTAGTTTCCATGCTCCCCAAAGTGGAATGGAATTCTGGGAATTAAAGACAATATGCTAACCACATAGCAAACCAGCCAAACGGATCAACATATAAGCACATAGTCATTCCATGGATCTTTAGTTTTATGTATCTATGTATGTATGTATGTATGTAGATTGTAATTCAACAATGTTTTCGTAACAGGATGGCTAGTTGACACACCACACTCTAGATAGACTAAATGTGCCACAGCATCTCAAATGTGAAGTGGAACTGAAATACCCTCAAATGTAATATTAATTTATATCATGTACACAAGGGAGTACTGCCATGTAAGACCTTATCTCCAAATCCTGTCCCACTAAAAAAGTTTATTTAGGTACATATAATAATAAGAAATGTTATATTTAGGTCTGTTTAGTTAAGCTGTCAGAGACAGCTCCCACTGGTTGGGATATATGGGATACATGGGATACAAGGTACAGTTGGGACATATGTATGGACATATGTCCACATATATCCCAACCAGTGGGAGCAGTATATATACATATGACACTTACAGAGAGAACTGCATTGTAATATTCTGACACATTTGTCCTTTGCACATTCTAATATATGCCCAGTTCTGTGTTATTGAACTTACGTGCACAACTCCAGGTTAACAGGAGTGCTGTTGAGCTGTAGTGTAATTTCATGCTGTGTGCTTACAACAAAGTCAACTGAACCGGGCTGGCCAGGACTCTGCGCTGCAGGTACCACCCCTAGCTGTTGGTACAAACACTAGCACACAAGGAAACATGGGTCCACATCAGAACATCATCATCCTCATATCCAAAGAGTCAACTGAAGGAGAATATTTGGTGCGTGTGAGCCTACCTGGTAGCAGCGCTCTGACATCCAGAAAACCACCACCTCACTGTCCAGATCATTGTTGACTGTCAAAACTGCCTCATCCATCTTTAGGACACTGTGTTTATGAGATGAAAAGCCAGCTGGAAAAAGGAACAGCAGTGCACATTTTGCTGATCAGTCGAAATCCATTAGCAAATTCATTCAAGAGAAAACATGCAGAAGATGCTAGAGCTTACAATGTTTCTGTAGCTGACCACACCCAACTGCTAAGCCACAGACATTATGAATATTATTTCAATAATCACAAACCCATAACATTGTGTTACTATGCATTTGCACTGGTATGTATATGAACCAAATGCACACGCGTAAAATAATCCCATCTTTCTTAACTCCATATTGACATAGGTATTGTACAAGCCAGAGATAATAATACCCTAAAGGCTTTACTTTTTAACGCCATCGTAAAGACAGCAGCTGTGCAATCAACTTTCAGTAACTTACCTCAAATCAATGGTTCCTTGTTATCGTTATGGACAAGAAAGTTACACCATACCGAAGTGCGTGGTAGCTAGATGGTTAGCCAGAGTGGAAGAAACTGTCCAGTATAACTATAAGCTACAGCTAGCCGTTGCTGCCTTGAAGAGGAAAGCATGTGAGAGGGCTGAAGTTATGGCTGCAGAGCCCAATGGTCACATGCTGAATTAATCCGCAAAATACCCCCCCAAGAGGGAAGTTTAAATGACTGGAGCTCATTCTTGGACTGCGAACTATGTCCTCCAGTGCTAATCTACAGTTAGCTCCGAGCTAACATGCATTAGGCTTAAGAGTAGAATCTTAAACCTAAACCCTAAATAACATATCTATAGTGGTGAATCTTCAGATGGTTGACAAAAGCCACATTCATTGCTGGTATGTAATTTAAACAAATACAGGTGGTGATGCAAGTATTTTCTTGACATTAGGTAACTACCTAGGATGCTAACTATCTAACACTATCTTGCTGTTAGTTTTCACTTGTCAACAGTGCTGTGTACTTACATGTAGATATTTCAGCTGTCAGTGGTGCCACGCAAACGGCTACAACCAGAGCAATGGCAGCAAGGGAAAACATATATTTCTCTGGCTGTGTCATTTCTTCCTGCCTTGCGTGCTTCAGCCCCTCTATTGAAGATGTGCCTTTTGAGTTTTTCTTTCGTGTCCCTTTTTCCATAATATATTCTACTTCCGACCCTTCCTTGTTTTGACATTGTAATGGAAGCGAGAAGGGACAAAGTACATTATTAACGCTACCCGGTCGTTGCCCTCAACAGGTATTGATCCCACTACCTGTGGATCAATACCACTATACTGATGCTTATTTTTTTGGTTGTTTAATAAGACCCCAGAAATCGTAGTAAACCTTTTTTGCAGGTGTCTACACATTCTGTTGCTATGAAACGTTGGTCACAGTTGTGAACTCACTCACATTCGTTTCTCACACTAATGGCTCATGTCTGTCCAGACAGATAAAACTGTTCGCCTGACACAAAACCAACGTTTAAATTGAAAATTTCCTTACTGTTTACTCCGCAGCCATTGCGTTTACAGGAATGTTGGATTTACACGTTTTTTCGCCAAGCATTTTGTGTTTCCTGGCAAAACAAACAGACATCTCTGGGATCACGAAATTACATTTTAAGGATACAACTAAAGATAACGTTATAATGGAACTTAATCATTACTGTATGGAGTGCTGGAGTCATAAATGTAGGATACACTGTTTGTTGCTATGGTAACGTATCTTTTTCAACCAATCCATAGGTTATATTAACTAGTTCACATCTGTGTCTCTTCCTGATCATTACACACTGGGTAATTTTTTCAAATTAACAGAACTGCTCCTAACCAGTGTTAAACCGTGCTGGAGTCATAAATGCCATCTCTTTTTAACTTATCGAATGACGCATGCGCATATGCTATAATAGCAAGGATTCCAAATCGATGATCGAGTGAATCGCCGGCGCCTCCCATAGGACTTCATCTATTTACAATGGCAGACAAACAAAATGCTCAGAAAAGGTAATATAAATATTAACCAGTAAACGACGTTTAATCGTGTCGTTAAATATTAAAAGTAAAATTAAGACTAAATAGCCACATTGAAGTAACCACGTAGGTAGTTTAGACGGCTTATCGAAGTGGCTAGCTAGCAACGTAAGCTAACATCTCCACACTTTTTTCTTGCTGTTTTTCTCTTTTTGTGCAGTGTCAAAATAGCCGCTGGAGCCGTAGTTTGTGTTGAAAGTGAAATCAAAGGAGATGTCACCATAGGTAAGATGTGTCGCTTTTCATCACTGGCCAGTAAACATTACTGAGTTGAGAAACCTTGTTTTCTTTTTTTTCTTTTACCTCTAAGCCGATCAGACATTCAATGATTTCTGCAGATTTACTTTAAGCAGGTGTGTGAACCAAAAATACCTTTTATACTCTCTCTGTTGACTCAGGCCCCAGAACAGTGGTCCACCCAAAAGCTCGTATTATTGCAGAAGCAGGACCAATAGTGATTGGAGAGGGGAATTTGATCGAGGAGCAAGCTCTGATTATCAATAGGTAATGCAAGTTTCCTGATTCCTGAAGATCACTGTCTTACCCATCTGTGCATGTGACATGTCTTTTTTGTAATCCAGTCCTTACCTGTATCTTGATAACTACAAACTTATTTGTTCTACTCTGCAGTTACCCAGAAAACATCACCCCAGATTCTGAAGTGGAACCAAAGACAATGACCATTGGCATCAACAATGTATTTGAAGTTGGCTGTGGTATCCTTTTTACTAGTCGACCCGTCTTATTCTGTAAGTCAAGTGATTTCATGTTTTAACAATCTGTTGATTCTTAAATTTTTCCTTAATGGACAATTCACAGTATCACAAGCCCTGAAGATTGGGGACAACAATGTGATAGAATCTAAAGGTAGGATATTTGCATCTTTGTGTGGCTTTCAGTGTGTATTTGTATGGAGAAGTGAAACCCACATCTGCAGAGAAGGTTGGAGCATTTAGATGAAAGCAGTCACTAGCTGTATCAAATATCATCTATGTTGTCTTCTAGCTGACGTTGGCAGGAATGTGATCCTCACCAGTGGCTGTATCATTGGAGCCTTCTGTCAGGTCAACACCTGTGAGGTCATACCTGAGAACACGGTCATCTATGGCTCTGGGTGTATGAGACGGGTTCAGACAGAGAGACCACAGGTATGGACACACGCGTCTGGGTGGTGTTTTGGGGGTGTAAATGGGTTCCCTAGGCTTATGATTAGCATTGCAACTTTAAAACCAAAGCATTTTCCATTACAATTTGTGCTCACAGATGGACCACTGAAATGTAGGTTTGTGTCTGAGAGGTGTTGATTTAACTCTGTGGTTAATGGAGGCTTTAGTTTGTGGTGTTTTAGTAGATTGTATTGCGATTGTGAAGGTTTTAGTACTAGTCCATCCACCTCTTATGCCATTTGTACATTTGTTTTAGTGTCCATGAGTCAGATTTAGCTCTTTTGTCAAACTGATCCATATTCATTTTAATGCACTCATTTTATTGTTTTTTAAGCAAATTGTTACTTAAAGCTCTATGTATGAGTTGAAGAGACATAACACCTGATTAACTAAATATGCCTACTTTAAATGTGACTGCTAGCAAGTACATACTGTACATGACTATAAAACTACCCTCGCTGAACTACACTTGCTACACTTTCTGTGAATGGTTACACACTCAGTCGTGTTTATGTCTGAAAGGCCCTACATATATAAATACTAAAAGTAATGGTTGTTAACCATGCTGTATACAAAAGCACACTGTGTGAACTACTACACAAAAGCATAAATTGAAGCTAAAACATGCCAGGCCTCATGTTTTTACAGCCTTCCACTAACTTAAATAGTATGCAATAAAAACTCCATGTTTATATTCTAGCTGGTCCTATGACATTTTGTATATTACTGCATAAATCAACATGTAAGGAAGAACAGTGGGACTCTGGGCACCATTAGTTTAACAGACTGTACCATAATTCATGTTACAGCATTGCCGTTTTTAAATTTCCATTGGGCATTTTCTTCCATAGTCTGCTCAACCTGTTCAGGGAAAACCTACTAATCTTAGTTTTTCGGATATACAGTGGTTTTAAGTGGATACATGATTTTCAGATATGCCCAACTGCCAAATGTCTAAAGCTGAAAGCATCGTGAAAAACACCACTTTTACGTATTTTACATATTATTAGTTAATACATGTTTGTTTTGTTGTCTTTACAGCCCCAGACTCTTCAGCTCGACTTTCTGATGAAGATTTTGCCAAACTACCACCATTTAAAGAAAACAATCAAAGCAGGCCACACTACTAGCTAAAATTTAGCTTCATAGTTTCTAAGTTGAATTATTAATGGCTTGCAAACCCATATGTAATTAGATCTCGTTGGAGGGAAGCATGAATGTATATAATTATATAATACCTTGCTTCAGTAATTTTTCTCACTTACTGATTACTATTTGCTACTCTTAACAGCAACAGATGATTAAGCATTTCATCTTTCTCACGCTGTGCTGATGTACTGTTTTCTATGATTAATTAAATAACTTCAAAAACGCTGATGGTGTGCACCTTGTACTAATGTTTGATCACAGCAGTCATCAGTAATTTCATCACAAGGTTCTAATATTTCAGTAAGAACACACATGATTCATAGAATGTTTTCAGTGTGACTCCAGATGGAGGAACAGACCAACATTAAATGACACATTTTATTTTCTTAAATACTTTTGGCAATAAACAGGTATAGAAGAATTGTTGCCACTGCAGTGCATGTAAATCAACTCAAGCAACAAGGCAGTATCCTGTAACAGTGTAATTTATTAAAATAAGTTCAAAAAATTCTAGTATTTTAAACCATTATGACATGGTGCTGCAAAGTAAAACAATTTAAATATTTTTGAAGTTTCACAGGAAGTAATGTCCAAGATGTTTCATGCTGGATGAGAGACGTCAATGTGATGCACTGCACAACACAAACATGTCTTCTGCAATTCCTAATAAAAAGGATGGAAGGTTGCCATCAGATGAGGACTGCTGCCCTCTCAAATAAACCCTTCCACACACACCCCTTTGTAATATATCAAGTGAAATGAAGAAAAAAGTATGTACACACTTAAACTCATTACCTTTAACAGTCAGGCTGCTGCGCCCCTTTTAAGGATGACAGTCTTTGTAAAAGCATTCACTGCTCTTAATGGTCTCAATACCCTTTTCCTCCAGTGTCCTTCAGTCATCACTGATCAATAAACAAACTGAAAAGGATTCCACAACACAGGTTGTATTCACTCCATGTAATACAAGACCACGGATCACTGAAAGGAGTTCAAAGAAAGGAAAAGAAGCTAGTTTGTTTGACATAACAGACACCCATGAAAAGTCTTGTAGTGTGGCCAGAGTCTCCATCTACAGCCATTTCTGATTTACAGATTCTACAAAGCTCCTCTGAGGGCATGTAGCAGTGATGGGAAGGGACTTCACTTCTTTACAGGAACGCCATCTGAATAATCCTCCAGTACTCCCGCCAAATGGTTGTTGTGAGTCTTGAAGTGTCTCTTCCTCTGCCCACCTTGCTTCTTCCTCTTTTGAACTGGTAACTGCAGGGGGCACAGAAACGCAATCAGCACTGATTATGATAATCCGTAATTAACTAAGAACAAATATCAGTATTCAGTGTTAAAATGTTAAAAGCCTTTAATTTTAGGGAAATAAATCAGGCAATTTTTATTTACATTTGGGAAGTTAGAACAAAAATCAAGCACTGGAGACCAAAAGACACTGACCACTTTCTTTGGTCCTGTTTCTTGCATGGAGGAGATGCCTTGTTTCTTCAGATACTCGTCAATCTTCTCTTCATCCATGGAATCGACGGGAACGCCCCTCCACAGTTTCTGAAATTCTGCAATTTAGAGAAAAAAGGTTTTTGAAACAGGAATGATCAATGAGCTAGACATCCAATTATTTCATGATTTTGACCAAACACGTGAAATAACACAAACTAAACCAAGTAGAGGCCTGGAGGAAATGGCTAAAATTAGTATCAAAATGTGCTTGGTAAATGAGCTGGTAAAAGTTTAGTAAAAGCTGACTAATTCTCACCTTCATCTACCGCAAACTGGCAGTGTTTGTCATTGTAGAACAGGATCTTTTTCTTGTCTGGTCTTGTCACGAAGATGATCTGATCTCCTAAAGCCTGTGAATGATCACATGAGAGCTCATTTCTCTGTCAATACAGCTTTACTGTTTACTTACCACAGTGTTTGGGTGTTGCACAGAAATGCACATCCCTTTCACGAATCAACATAATGAACAGTATGTATTAGGTGACATCTTTGCATACATGCATATGCTTAAATTGTATTTATTATGTTACCTTAATGGCCTTGGCTGAGTTGGGCAGCCCCTCCTCTACATCGTCCAGCAGCACTCCTCCCAGGCCCAGCTGGTCGTGTTTGTCCAGCAGCCTCAATAAGGCTTTCTTGTCCTTCAGGTTGTACTTGGGCTTGAAGCCATATGTCCCATCACGTACCTCAATTTTTGGGTTGCTGACCAAGGCCTGACAATTGCAGGGAGATGTGCAGTAATAAATTTCAAGTTTGAAGTCTCTAGTTAAGTAGTAGACCAGCTAGGAGATGTGTAAAAGTATTAATTTAATTTTCTTACCCGTTAAAAATAAACTAAATAGATAAAAAAAATTACATCTTATATTTATACGGCTCAGACATAAATAATCATTTGAACACACTTTAAGCCAATTTTCAGCTACAGTTGTTCCAATATTTTATTCAGATCATGTAGTTGCTATTAACAGAAGTAACTTCATGTCGTGCTATCAGCATGATCACTCAGTTGCTACTCAGAGGCTTCCTCCTTTTGCAACATACAGGATGTCGTTATAGAAAAATTGTTGCCAGTGGCTCACGTCAGCCTACAAGTGACTGCAGGAAATCAAGTATTTTTTGTGGATTTCAGGTGTAAAATAGGTCAGTGTGATGGTGTAGGACAAGGACAAGTGTACTGCTGATGATAAATAAAATGTTGTATAATACAAAAGAGACACAAACACACCTCCGTCATGAGCCATTGTTTCTGTTTCATGCTGATGTCAAGAAGTTTGGTCTCATCCAGAATCTCTTCTAAGGTCAAGAAGTGTGTGTCACCATTCTGATGCCTTGTCTGAGAGTTAAGGACAGAGAAGCACATGGATTTAAATATAGAAAAGACACATACAGAGTCAACAACAGCATAAAATCTTCCTCAGAGCTTATTTTAAAATGTAAGCAATTCTTAATCCTACACCTCTGACAGCGTTTTAGCCCAGTGTCTACAGTGATTTTGCGCCTCTCATCCAACTGTCAGGGCATTGAACACGGTTTTAACTATTCAACAGATGGCACCAAAAGGCACACATTCAAAGAAAATCTGTCAAGTTGAGTATGAGTTCTGCAGCGAGGGCTGAGTCAGACGGCAAGTGTGACAAGGCCTGCCTGCCTCTCTGCAGAGCCACAGCACGATAAACAAGCTGTTTACATACCAAAGAAAGACCGGGGACCAAATGTTACACAGTGTACACAGCTGACTCACTCAGTTGACACAATAGACAACAAGTCAAGGTTTTATGGAGCTTTGATGGAGATGACAACATGCTTAAATTCTAGCAATTAAATGGATGCTATTGTGAGAACTTAAATCAACTTGGAGGGGAACAATGTCCATGAGACTGAAATGTCTACAAAACCTCAAAGATTAATACAATCGCATCTAAATTACTAAAGAAAGTTCCTTTTGTGTGAACGACAAATCTTTTACAGAGGCTTACCTTCATATAATTGACTATCTTGGCCAGACAGCCAAATTTGTACCCAGAGCTCGTCTTGATGTTAAAGTTTCCATTACTAGACTCTGTGGAAAAAAAGAACAGTTTGGGTGAATTGTTTAAATATCACATTATGTATTATAAAGGCTGACATCAGTGGACTTTTATGGACAGACAGATAGCACAGGTGTTAGTGAAAAGACCTTTGTTAAAAAACTGTTTAAAAAACAAAACAAAATCAATTACACACGATTTTCTCACCAGCTTGTGTAAGTGCTATCAAATCAGCAATCAACATTTTCATGAGGTAACTATCCATTATTCTACATTTTTCTTATTCATATTCTGTGGCACCATTCCTACTGAAGCTGCATTTCTTTAAAACGGGTCACAAATATATACTTAAAAAAAAAAAAAGTAATTTCAAATCAGCAGGAAGGTGTATGTGGAATTTACTCAAAATAAGATACATTGTCCATGTTTATGTGTTCATGGTAAAGAAGGAAGGTGTCACCTAAAACAACAATGTGGACCACTGATGTGTTTCTATTGGAGCTCAACTGTACAGAGGAACAAGCTAGGAACAGGCTTTGGTTACACATCTTGTTAGTTGGATCAATTTATTGTTGGTTTTGGTCTTTTCAGGGGGGTTTGTTGACAAAACGAAAAACATAAAATATCACCTGCCTTATCCTGCAATGTAACAAAATTATTCTAAAGATACTGCTGAAGCATCATATGAGCGTAATTTGATAAGAGTGATTTGAAATCCGGCCAGCTGGTCCTATTCTCTGTTGGGAGTTCAATAATGCTGCCCCCCCCCCCGCCCCCCCAGAGACTGTCTGAGGTCTGGGCTCAGCACTCGCCTATCAAAGCTGAAAACAGACAGTGATTCATGAATGATTCATGCTGTAGGCGGGAGCTTCTGTCGCTGTGAGCTGCACTGTGGGCAGGACAGCGAAATTGTGACAGGCCGGTTAACGAACGGTGCAGAGGCAGGGCTAAAAGAAAAGAGCCAATGATGGACAGAAGCCCGTGCCGTTCAGCTGAGACATGAAGAGCTGCAAGGAGTGGCGGAGGGAGCGAGCGAGTGCACGAGCAACGGCTGGAAGTGCATGAGAGTGCTAAGGAGGAAAACAGGTCGAGGAGTGAACGCGGAGGAGGGAGAGAGTGGAAGACAGAGCGATAGGTGGAGCACCAAAAAAAAAAAAAAAAAAGAGGAGAGTGCATCTGTTGACTTGCATCTTCTACAGGACTGAGCCAGACAAAGGTGAGTCTGCATATTTTTCAGAATAGCATCCTCAGAAAAATGTGTGCATATTATACATCAACAGATCATAACAATCCACAGTATGAATTTAAGCTACAGGCTGCAGGCTGTTATTGGTCTAAATGTGCAGCTATGAGTATGAGGGGTTTTCTGAGTAATCCAGCATTTACTTGGTAAATCATACATCTTTAATGCAGCAGATCTATTCCTGTAGCCAATTCCTTATGCATTAGAAAAATCTAAAAATGCAAACCAACAAATGACAACTATGTATGGGAAATGGAATTCATACTAAAACATCAATTAAGATGAGATCATTACATAGCAATTTTAATATTAAGGCCAAGAATGAAACACAGACACGCAATGGATTAAATAAACATGGATGTGTCTGCACTCGTGCCACTTAAATTTCAAGCATCAGAAACTCTGCGTGGGTTTCTAGGTCTATGTGTGTACTCGTGTGCATCATGTCGGGCTATGTTTGTGGAAATGCCTCAGAACTCGGTGCAAACTACGGCTCTGAAGATAAATCAGTGAGCGACGAACAGCTTTGAGGAGTCAACCAGGGGCACTACCAGTGTCTAAGTGTGTCTGTGTGTTTGTGTGTTTAGTGAGAGACAACCACTGTTTAGCCAGAGAGCAATATCATAGTCCTACAACACCTTTAAGAGCTCAGCCGGGGCGGGGCTCATTTAGGGTGAGATACCAGCTGCTGTGTGGATTATACCAGTCACAGTGTAAGCATTTTGTCAGCATCCAAAGAAGGGTGAAATATGCCAATTTTCAACTTGAACAGAGGCTCAACTAACTTTACAATAAAACACATGTATTACACTGTATTGAGACACAATCAAACCAAACTTGTACCTAAAAATTTCAACAAAAATTGTTGCCAAAAAATAAATACACCACAACAGCTTCAATGATGAAACAATCCCACCGAAATGAACTGACATGGTCACCTGTATTTTTCAGGGCAATGATTGTTAGTAATCTTTTGGAACAAAAGGTAACCTTAACTCCAACCCTAACCACACACAAACCTCCAATTTATAGGTGCCTTTCCCACATTATTGAGGACATATCATGCTGAGTAAGGGAACCAGTGCAAGACTATAACTTAGGCACTTTGGTTCTGAGGTGAAATGTGTGATCTCTTGAGACAACTGACGCCACTGCAACAGCGGGTTCTATCACATTACAGTTTCAGGTAACATGGAAAACCAAATTACAATCACACAAGGAGCATTCACCTATCTCTGTCAAAGTGCACTAAAATACACTCTCACACATAGCTGTACTAGGTTGCCACAAATCTATCCTTTGACACACAGTAAGCCCAGTTAAAGTTGTACGATCGTAGGAAGAAATGCACAAAAAAAGACAGGATTATTCTACTGTAAAAAGAAGCACTTATGCCCCTCTCCCGCAACGCCTTTCAGTGGTTGACTCAAATAATCTGGGTCAGCTGCCTTGATCTCTGTAGGTGATGTCTGTGATTGTGATTGTGACTGTGTGTGTGTGTTTGTGTGTGTGTGCGGAAGGCAGGGGGTGCATACAAGTGTGTCTTTAAAACATGTATGTATACGTGTGTGTGTGTGTGTATATGTGTGTTTCTGTATGTGGGGGGGACACACAGAGATACTGGCATGCTGTTCCCTGAGGATTTAAAATGGTAGGCATTGGCTGAAAATGTGAAAGGATAGCCGAAGAAAGACAAATACCCTGACAATATGCACCCTGCACATCTTTTACCTTCATTATTTTATTGCAATTCCTTCACTACAACATTCTGTCAAGTGTTGTGACCTAAGAGTTGCAAACCAAGCTTAGATGCAACATTTTGCTGTGCACCCATCCTTGCCAACCAGGCTTTTAAGTCTTATTTTGGTTCTGAGCAGATGGCCTCAGTAGGGTTTGTGCTCTTCAGCAACATAACACTTTGCTTTAATAACAGTGTCTTTTTATTTAGGTAAGAGTCCTTTCTGTACTGAAAGATGTAGGCTAGGGTTTATGTTGTGTACATACTGACACTGCAGTTTATCAAATTACTACATGATATGTATATATATATAGTACTATAATCACATTACAGCAAATTACCTAAAAGAAACCCTGATGGTTTTAAGAGAGGAAATGGCCTTCCCATTCTGTCTGTGGTCTCTAGTGAGACTGTGTCCTTTTCAAACAGCACATTAGCAGTGCACATGTTTTGTTTTAAATATTTATTGATTTTAGGGGCCAATGCATCTAAAATTTTGGCACCACACAGCCCATTATATCAGGTTAAAAATATTACATCACATTCAAAAGAAAGACGATCCTAAATATTATGGCCTAAAGAGTGGTTCTTTAATCCTTCTCTCACCATGGAAACAAGTACTACAACCATCACTCTCTAATTTGCTGTCATCACCTAGCAGTGAAGCCCAGAACCACAGGCACAGGCATTAACAATCTGTCTTTCTCCCTGTTTTTGTTGCTTCCAAGGAGAAATCATGGCCAACATCACTACCACTATACACCCAAGTAATCTCCCATGGCACCCAGGGGCGGTCTCTCTCCCCCTTGTCTCCTTGCAGGTCCAGGAAGTGTACCCATTCCATGACGGCTGGAATGTGGCGTGCTTCGTCATCCTTCTGCTCTTCATCCTCACTGTCCTGTCTCTGGCTGCCTTGGCCGTGCTCTATGAGTTACTGGACTGTGGGTGTTGTGCCAAAGGGAAGACACATCACCAGCTACAGGAGGAGGGGCCGGGAAGCTGCAGTAAGCTCATGACCAGCATTTGCAAGGAGCCAGAATCCCACACTGAGGTGGTATAGAGGCAGCAATGATGAAGAAAAGGAATAGCAGGAATTCGGGTGTCATTGCTAAGTTGGGCAATATTACGGCACTGACCCCCTGAGGAATGGACGTCTAAAACTGCGTAATAGTAGTTCAATTGCTCACAGTTTGGTGGATGTGGAGGGAAGAGACAAGATAAGGTAACGGAACAATGTAAAGAAGAAGGGGGCAGTTTTTCACTGATTTGGAGTGAGTCTAATTACCGCTTCAGTTACAAAGGAATCTTCACACAATCCAGATTCACTACCACTTAACACAGAGGGCAGACCATGTAAGCCATATTTTACACCTGACATAATCAGGAGATAAAGAGAGAGAGCACCTCAGTAGAAATAGTATTAGTAGTGCGGCCCAATAAAAAAAAATAAAAAATACACAACACTGACAACACTTAAAAATGAAGGCTGTGGCAGAATGGATTACACTGAGGTGGGACTTTTTTTCCTTTGTTTTCTTTGATGGAGTATAACGTTGCATGGCCAAAACATGTTAAAATTAAAAACACCACTCAGCCTCAATATGAGTGAGTTTAAAAAACAGGTTCTCTTGCTCAGCGACATTTGCCCTGTGAGTACTGCACGTACAAATGAGTTTCTATGAGACATGGTAAAATGTTGTACACAGACAGAAAATGTTGTTGTTTCCCAAAAGGGCCTGCTAGGCAACAAAGAAACTGATCAAGTTTGGTTGGACTTCATCGTTGCTTTGGACAAAGCCTGTGTTTCTCTGTTCTTTAGTAAATTTTGTGCCAGTGCCGTCAACATGTTAAGCATTGCATTATTATTATTAGATGACAAATTACACTTTGTTGCTGCACAGTGATGTATTTTATCATGTCATATTGAGCACAATGTATAATTTCATATGCCTTACCACAAAATGCCTAATAAATTGTCACTTAATTATGTACCAGTTTCTTTTTTTCTGCTAAAGAAGTAGCGGGCGGTCTGTGATTATACTGAGAGATCAGTTTATGAGGTTACAAACTTACATGAAATGCCAGGTGACAAGAGGCCACTGCTCAAAATCCAACTACATCCAATGACATGTAACATGTCAAATTTATATCACAAACAACTATTTTTGTGTGTCCCATCATATCATTTTTACTTTCAAGCTATGCTCTGATCATTTAAAGGTGTGTGCGGGGGGGGGGGGGCATATCGAAGCAAACCTTACTTGTTTGGAGGAGCTACTAAAATTATGAAAATAATATGACAGTTTTAATAGGAATTAAAATGGCATTGCTTTAGCCAGTATAATGATATAATAAGACAGTATCAGCTGTTGATGTGAAAAGTACGGTGGTGATGGGCACCAGAATCAGTGTTACAAAGATGCATTATGTTAGCAGTACCATGGCTTCCGTCTATATATAGCCCTCTTACAACACCAGAAAGAAGCCATTCACTGCTACAACTAAACACATTATAATACATTTTTAAAATAATCTGCTTCACTTACCAACGCCTTTGGACCCTGAGGAGCTCTCCTTGTCAACTTTGGGCTTCTTCTTCTTGTGTGATCCAGAGTCTGAGGATGCTTGTCTCTTCTCTACAGCTGGAGTGGACAGAGCTCTTTTCTTGAACAGTTCCCTCTCCCTCAGTAGAGCTGGGTCCATCCTGGCAGACAGAGCACAAAATAAAATCAAAAACAGCAACAATTTGATAAAGACATAACAAAAGACAATTCAACAAAGCTTCCTTCAGACTGAGATGTTTGTGTAACTTTTCAAGTCATCTATCACAGATGACCGCATCTCTTCAAACATAGCCTAGCAAGTTAAGGCACGTTTCACAAAACTACATATAATTAGGAGAGTGAACTGTTGCATATTGGTACAGAAGCGGGTATCACACTGTAACAATAGCTGTGTTAACCTGGTTTGGGGAATCTGTAGTAACAATGTGCTGCAGAGACCCGGCTGACACCTTCATCTCTACCCCCTGCGCATTGAATATGTTCCCTATCACCTTCATCAAGCAAGTGCACCTAGCAGACGACACATGGCAGCCTCATCATTTCCACAGAGAACCAGAAACCAACCTGTACTTCTATTCTGGTGTTACAGTACCTGGCTCTAAGGTTTCTGTGGGTCACTTTTTGATTTCATTTCATTTATTAGGAATAAGCACCATCTAAATATAATTTACAATAGTAATAACAACAAAGGTCTGAATGTTGACACACAGGGCTCCTCTGCAAGACATGACCCACCGACAATCAATGACCGTAGGCCTTTAGGGGAACCAGCATAAATCAATTTGATATTAAGCGAGAGGTTTTCCATAGCTTAACTGCTGATGTTGATCCCAGCGGCTAAAGTGTGTGGACATGGTATGAACATGAATGATGAGCTCTCTCGCACCAATATAATAACATCTGAGAGGAAAATAACAGCCAAGTTAGCTAAAATTGACATCGCCTAGCTCGTTTACCAGTCAGATTACAAGTACCTTGTCAGTCGGCATGGTTCTAGGTTAGCCTGGCGTTGTTGCTTTTTGTGATAATGTAAACCTTTCCAAAATAACTAACGTTATCTCATTTCATCAAATGTTGCTTTACTACTTCGTATAATTGGATACCAACGTAAGTTAGCAAACGTCTGACACTTGTTAGTAACGTTAGCATTAGCGTTCCGATTTACTGAACGTTGTTACCTGACACTTTTTTCCTGTTCTCAGAGAAAGTGACGGGTTTTGTCCGGGAGGACTGCGTAATTTCAGAGGATATAGACCAGAGGGAAGATGCTTCGTTCAAGAAATCGCCGCTTTATCTGGTTTCTTCAAAGATAATAGAAGTTAACGATAGCTAACAAACTTCATGCACACAAAACATCTCATTTTCCTTCTCACGCTGCGCTTCCGGTTCTTGTTCGATTTGTCTGATGTCGACAGTTAATCCTTGGGAAGCGTCATCACGTACGACAATTCTCTATGTGGGTCATATTATACTAGTGCATTATAACAAAAGAAAAGCATTCATCGAAAACTAATCATTCAAAATAAACAAGATATTATATACTGTACTGTTAGAACGACTGAATAAACAACATATCGTAAAAGAGGAAACAGATTTTTTCGTGGTCAATACCACCACCACCGCCCCCCCCCCCACTTCCCACCCCCCATCATCGACACTCATTAAATACACAAGTGTGCATTATTATTTTAACAAAACAAATCACAGTCCAACCTCGTAGAAATTCATTGCAACAATAAGATGTACTGTTTTAGGTGATGCCTGAAATGCAGGATTTTATTTTTTAAATATATTTATATATTATATTATAAGAGTACTCATTCAATACATTTTCTCATTAGTCGGCCTACTGCTGGATGTATTTCTTTAATCACTGCGCCTCTGATTATTACACCTCTTGTTCCAGGCAGTAAATAGCAGAAGGGCGTCACCTGGTGGATCTTTTTAAGTACTTACTCTCTCCTATTTTCCCTTATCAGTGCAGGGACAAGAGAGACTAACACCTGACAGACATACAAACAGGGTAACAAACAAAGAAAGGGACAAATTAAGATAAAAAAAGAGAAAATGTTCATGTTGTACATTGATCACATTTTTTCATGTGTCCGCCACCTGTGTGTCATCACCTAGTCAGTGATATTCCCTAGTACATGCAACAACAAACAAGTAAAACAAGTTTATGTTTGTTTTGTTGTTTCAACTGTTATAAACCAGTGAAACTGAAATAATGTTTCTTTGCATCAGCAACTGAATACAACAAAGTAGAAAAATAACATCTGCAATTTGACAATGTGGAAAGTTACAGATCGCAGAGATGAAAACACCGGCATCCATCGTTTTAGAATGAACATATGACTTTGTAGTTTTCTTGAGACTACATGAGTTTAGATGTGAGGCCCTTACAGCTCTCAAAGCTAGTGTCTTCTGGCATCCTTTCAAAGAAAAAATTCCACTCCCTAAAGGAATCGACAATTATTATGTGCATATATTGCAACTTTGGCCACAACTGCGTTATAATCTCTCTTGCATATTGATCAATAAATATGATTTAGCTTTACCTGTCACCACTCACTGCATCCAAAGACAAGCTGTATGGGAGGCTGGAGCTGCTGCAAGTTTGAAAAGGCCATAACTACACCACATACTACAGATTCTGTTATGAAACCGAGCACAGGAGTTCATCCATCTGAAGCCAGACTTTGCTGTATTGAGGAGGAAAGGCGACTCCACCACTGGGTAATCAGGTGAGGGAAGAGGTGAGATAAGGCTGCAGTATAACCAGGTCACTGTAGCAAATGGAGAGCTAAGCACCGAGCAGCAGCAGAGTGTGGAGCATAAGCCACAGAGTATGGTGTTCAGCTCAAAATGTAGGAGGCGGATAGAGGGCATTTTTTAAAATCAGTTCTCAATTCCAATACATGCATAAGGTTTCCTGCATAGATTAATTGGCACAGGATTTAACATAAAAGATGCTTCCTTGTATTATTCAAAATATATGCAAATATTAATAAAGATAAGATCATACTTTAAAAGTAAATTTGCTTACTTTGTGAGTGGAGGTGCATCAAACCTTTGTTCCAAGGTAATTCTGAGTTGGTGGTCAGATTTGATTGAAACCAATGAGATAAGCGCAGAGAAAAAAAAAAGAAATATAAAAATCTTCTGTGTGAAATAATCAAAGCTGTTTCAGCAGAGAATAATACATTCATAAAGGAGCCCATCACTCACAGTAAAACAGCTGATTGGCAAAAATAGATTTTCAGGGTCTTCAAAGAAATCCTTGGAATGCCTTTACAAATATATTCAATACATTAATTGTGGAAACAGTAAGACTAACTCACAGATCAGTTGTTCAGTGAAATGCAGGTCTGACCTCATGACTCTGCCTGTGGAGCAGGGAGTGTGATTTGAAAGGTTCCACAGTTTGTAGTAATTTATCCCTTCATGCACTGCACACAGTGATACTGAGCACACTCACTGTACTGAGCTTTTTTTTTCTTTTTTTTTTACTCCCAACAGTGAAAGAAAATGCCACAAATTTGAAACTCAGTTTGCTTCTCTTTGTCTCTTATGTGGGTATCTATCGTATAAAGATGCGAGCATGTGTATGTAAAGTGAGCAAGGTACAATATCTCAATGATAAGTTATTTTAATTTAGTTTTTCATGTGTTGTGTTTTCTCTTTAAAAGCCATGCCAGAGTTCTTCTTTATATAAAGTTTGTTATTAGCCACCCCACAGGGAAATGAAAAAAAGAAAAATGAATAGGAGCGTATGTGCATGTTTGTGTGCATTCGATATTTTTGGTGTAAGCTCATCTTATCGCATATCCTCCATCTGTCCATGTGCCTTAATATCAAAAAGATGTTGAGATTATAAAGTCTCAGTGTGATCTCTGGTGTGTTTGTTTATGTGTGTGGGTGGGTGAGTGGACACAAGTCCTTGGTTGGGTGTATTATTCCAAAAAAATTATCCTCTGTCCTTGATAAGCAATATTAAAGAAAACTCTTTATGTGCAGGTAAAAAAACAGCACAGAAGATAAAAACGGGCATCAGCTCATCCAACTTTCAGATGTTCATGTGGATCATAGAACAAATTAGCATCTCCAAAACTCCTAATTAATGATTCAGCAGGCCAGTCAAAGAAGTGAGCCCACATGAATGATTAAATATGTGCTAACCTAATTTAGGGCCTAATCCATAATGAATGAATTACACTGTTTAGTCATAGCAGAGAGAGAGAGAGAATGGAAGAGAGAGGGAAAAGATTTGGACATCAGAGCGTAGTTAGACTTATGAAGTGACTGCTTCAGAAACCTCGACCTTACCACTTCAGCTGCAGACACTTTGAAGCCACAACAACCTCGGCAAGTCAAGGTGTAACCACTGGACTGGAGACAGGATTAGTCTCATTTTAAGAGTCACCGTGTTCTCTTTGTTAATCTGTAGGGGTCTAGTGTTGTGTTGTTTTTCACTGCTTAAATTGTGTGTGTGTGGGTGTGTGTGGGTGTGTGTGGGGGTGGGGTGGGGGGTGGGGGGTTCCGTGTATTATGTACTGCAATAACAGAGGGGGAAAGAGAAAGAGAGAGTCAGCATTGTAATCTACAGGTGAGGAGTAGTATCAAAGAGAATAGACGAGTGAAGTCCTGGAGCTGCAGACAACCAGTGCAAATCCCTGTGGAGGAGAAAATCTCAAAGTGACGGCTTTCAATTACAACGGTATGAGAAAGTGTGTGTGTTTGTGTGTGCATGTGTGTGTGAGTGTGTGTGTACTACCTGTCAGCACTTCTGGGCTTCACTGACAGTTCGATGTCACAGCTTCTGAATTGAAAGTACCTCATGTACACACAGAGAAGCCACACACACAGACACACACATGCACACACACACACAAACACACACACACACACACACACACACACACACACACACACACACACACACACACACACACACACACACATACACACAGAGTTTCTCTCCCTTTTATTTATCCTCTGTCTCGTTCTCACATTTGTCTCTGCTGTATTCTCTGGTGCCTGGGTCGAACTGCTGTTGGACTCTCTAAAAGGCAAAGAAAGAAAAGGCAGATACTGCACACTGGAACTCAGTGTACTACTGTACATCATGTGTAGGTTTATGTAATGTGCCCCAGAGTGTTTGAGAGTATGCCATCGATGTAGATTGTTGTTTTGCAGCCTTTACTCGGGCAGCAAAGGCCATGAGGGAACAAACTCTAAGCAAGGATTATGACATATTTATTTATTTGTTAGTTTATTTAATAAGGACAAAACTGAAAAATAATAATACTTACAGTAAGAAGGAAGGAAAGAAGTGCAACAGTTATACAGTATATAGGTCATCTAGCTGAATCTAATTTGCAGCCCCCACTTCTGGTTAGGTTTGCAGTTGAACAGGCAGAAGGATGTCATTACCACAATACAAGGAAAGCCGACCAGTACCTGTGAGATAAACTACATAACCAAAAGTATATGAAGCAAAATACGAGGACATACAAGTTTTCCACCTATATGTGATTGATTCAACATTTCATTCCAGCACCATTAGCATAAATATACTGCCATAACAGGCTTCTCACTTCTGGCTTTCCACAACATCTTGGAGCCTATCTGCGGGGATTTTGCTCTCATTCAACCACAAATGCATTAGTGAGGTGCAGCCACTGATGGTGTTTAGATAAGGCCTGGCCCGCAGTTGGTGTTCCACTTCATCTCAAAGGTGTTGGATGGGGTTGCGGTCAGCGCTCTGTGGTGGCCAGTCAACTTCCTCCCCTGCAAATTCAGAAAGTCATTTCTTTATGCACCTAGCTGTGAGCACGGGGCATTGAGCTGTGAGCACGGGGCAGTGTCATGTTGAAACTAGATAGATAGATAGATAGATAGATAGATAGATAGATAGATAGATAGATAGATAGATAGATAGATAGATAGATAGATAGATAGATACTAGAAATACATAGAAATTCATGTGTCCATTAGCTCATTTTTGATAATAATACTAATACTAATACTACTAATAATGATAATAATAAAAACAGTTAATAATAAATGAACAAAAATAATTGAATTAGTCCACTTCCTTTGGCTGAGGTGTTGCATAGCCTGATGGCAGTGGGAACAAAGGATCTCCTGAACCTCTCTGTTCTGCAGCGCAGTGAGATGAGACGTTTGCTGCAGCTGTAGCTGCTTTTCTGTCCTGCCAGAATGTTGTGGAGAGGATGGTTGGTATTGTCCAAAGAGACTTCTCCAAACTGGAAGCACACTCTCATCTAAAATATCACTGTATGCATGGAGAGTTAAAATTTCCATTAACTGGACCTTGGAAAAACTATAAAACCACAGAAAAACAGCCCTGAACAAAAGTGCATAAAGCTATGTGTA